AAATATCTGGATATCTGATATCTGATAGATTTTTAGAATAGAAACACGAAAGAACCCTTATATTCTACACATACTTATAGAAGGATTTCAAATTTGAAAGCATATATCTGGATATCTGATATCTGATAGACTTTTAGAATAGAAGCACGAAAGAACCCTTATATTCTACACATACTTATAGAAGGTTTTCAAATTTGAAAGTAAATATCTGGATATCTGATATCTGATAGATTTTTAGAATAGAAGCACGAAAGAACCCTTATATTCTACACATACTTATAGAAGGTTTTCAAATTTGAAAGTAAATATCTGGATATCTGATATCTGATAGATTTTTAGAATAGAAACACGAAAGAACCCTTATATTCTACACATACTTATAGAAGGATTTCAAATTTGAAAGCATATATCTGGATATCTGATAGACTTTTAGAATAGAAGCACGAAAGAACCCTTATATTCTACACATGCTTATAGAAGGATTTCAAATTTCAAAGTATATATCTGGATATCTGGTAGCTAGGTAAGGCATATAGCTATACCTGTAGGAGACTATCCACTAAATTTTAGAAGTTTGAAATTTTCACATATATAAGTTAACATTCCATACACAACATAGCACTATAGTTTTTATCTTATTAAGATCTGAGTGCCTAGTTTATATCATGGTAAAAAATTTTAAGAAAAGGCTATTCGTGAAAACTGGTAATAATTTGAGATTCTCCACCTCCTCGCAACAGGAAAGTAAACAACGCACTTCCACAGACGATTTTTTTCCTTCTAGAATAAAAAGCCTTTCAAGAGAAAAATAACTCGATTCTCTTCACATTCACAAAAACAGATCGTCGATTTCTGTCAATAAATTTTTTTTCTTGGTCTGTTTCATAATCTCATTCATATGGTATCCATCGCATTCTTTTTTCTTATCATCACATTTCTCTCTCTCAAAGGTTTGACAACACATCTTATATTTTTCTCATTGACAAAATCTTTTCATAGGTCGAACTATCGCATTAGCCAGTTCTTCGTGTGCCTCTCAGAGCAATAATGTAGAATTTACACTGTCGACAGCATCTCATTCTGCATCCAATCCAACATCAAGTTGTTCTTTACAACAATGTATCACCACTTCAGCTAATAATCAGACTTGTTCTTTGTCACCAACACCTTGTTTCAACTATCGCACAACGAACAACATCAGTTATTGTGCTCCTGCTATTGATTGTCCAGTTTTACAGCCATGTAATAATGTGACATACAGTTGTGCATCGAATGATTCAGTGTGTATTGTGAACTCATGCTGTTCACCAATAGCAGTATGTTTACCGCTGCTAACTACCAATTTCTGTCCACGAGGTAAAAAATCAATGTTGAGAAATAGATCGAAGGGCAAAGGAATAGTTACGTAGATGCATTCTGAACAATGTTCTTCCAACATTTCGAAAGTTCGTTTGAATTGTTCAAAATTGTGGAGGAATTTGATCTTCTTACATGTTGCTTTGTAAATGATATCTTTTCTATAGAGTGCGTGATCTAATGTTTATCATTTGGATAAGAGGGTTTTCACTTTTTCTAAACACCTTCGTATAGCAGTGTATATTTTACTCTTCGAATTCTATTGCTAGTCCGCTAATTATATTCATAGTTACTACTTTTGATACACATTTGACGATATCGTTAGACGTCCATCTTGAACTTAGAGAAATTTGCTCGAGTTTTATTGCTTTATTCGTTATTATGACTCGAAACTAAAGTTATAGCTTATACTGACTTATGAATTAATTCGTATATGAAAATCTCTTCTGCATAAAATGTCGTACACGCTGTTTTTCTTTTGTCTCATGAGATGCTTTTGCAATCCTATTGGTAAATATTCTTTTCTTCCGAAGTGTTTCACTCTGAAAATAGCTCTACTAAAACGCTGTCACTAGTCACGCAAGTAGTGTCATACGATAAGAACTCTTTCCTAGACACGTCTTCGTTTTACAAGAAGCATAGCCTTCCCTCTTTCTCATCAGTAATCATTTTCTTATTAATGTAGTACAGTAGTAGAAGAGAGATTTCACATTCGGAATTCGAAATAAAACCATTGCTGACAGAAAATGACTCGAAATGCTTCCAAAGAGACAACTACGAATAAAAACATATTATCGTCAGATGATTTTAGTAAGCGTGTACTACATTCAAACTAAGAAGATTTTGTTTTCTGAGATATTATTTCGTTGTGTATGCAGTTTGAGATATGAAGAAAATCCAATGATACTCTTTTTAAAAACCCTTAAATCGCATCCTGAAGCATGTATGTGTAAGCTAACCAAAAAAACAAATCTCATGCAATATAAGTTTTATTGGTATTTTCTTTCAATCGTCATCTCAATAATTGACAAAAAAAAACTTCAGTTTCTATTCTTGTACTCATGCAGGACATTTAAAAACAGTAAATTCGAGTGGAAAAATGAGACAAGGTATGCTTTTTTGAAAGATGAGTAAATGATTAAGATAACTTTGTTTTCAGTCATCTTAACGAAAGATCATTTATTGTTGTGTTCATTCGATTTCTTCTACTAGGATGGTCAATGACTGGATCTATGAATGTTGCACGATATGCTCATACAGCATCTACATTGCTCGATGGAAAAGTATTAGTTACTGGTGGATATTTCAGTGGCAGGTATCTGAATAGTGTCGAACAGTATGATCCATCAACAGGTGTCTGGATACAAACAGGGAATATGAATGTTGCACGAGGTCTACATACAGCATCTACATTGCTCAATGGAAAAGTATTAGTTACTGGTGGAATTGGCAATAGTGGTTATCTGAATAGTGCCGAACTGTATGATCCATCGACAGGTGTTTGGACACAAACAGGAAATATGAGTTTTGCACGAGGGTATCATACAGCATCTACATTGCTCGATGGAAAAGTATTAGTTACTGGTGGAGTTGGCAGTAGTGATTATCTGAATAGTGCTGAACTGTATGATCCATCGACAGGTGTTTGGACACAAACAGGAAATATGAGTTTTGCACGAGAGCGTCATACAGCATCTACATTGCTCGATGGAAAAGTATTAGTTACTGGTGGATATAATGGTACTATTGTTTTGAATAGTACCGAACTGTATTGATTAATTTCAATTCTACGATATTTATCCTTCACCTTCACATAATAACGATTCCACACTCTCCTAATTGAATCTTACTGACTTTACAATGAAAAACGTTTACTCAGTCTACGTTAATCAATGAGTTTTATACTTGCTTTGTGTCGTTTTACCATATTTAGCGGCCGTACCATGTTGAAAGTTCATCTTTTTCTTTCCATCTAAAATTATAACTTGAGTTATCGATGTAAGAACCATTTAAAAGCCGGTGAAACTGTTGATTTCTCTTCCTTTTTTCTCATAATCAACACGAGGTTTAGATCATATGGTTTAAGAGTGTAAATAGCTTCATCGAGCAAAAGTGTCTTCTCTCAGTCCTTTCACTGTAGTTGCATCATGTTTATAAGTACGACGTTGCTTATGCTCATGATACAACCTATATCATTTATAGCGATAAAACTAGCATGTGTATCAGTACCAACTGTTGTCTGATTAGCGAACATGATGCTATCTTCTTTCCATGATGACGGTGAACGAAGCTTTGGTTGATTACACGAAAGAACTACATTCCTCTCATCGGTTTATCGTAATACAGTTTTCGAATGCTTACACAATGCTTTATTGGTTGACATAAAGAAAATCAGAAAAAGGATGAGATGGTACTTTATAGCGAAGAGCTTGATAGTAAAGAATGAAATGATGCAGATTATACTTCGTCTTTTTATGGCGTTGTTGATTAGTGAGAGGAAATATCATGCATAAAACGCTGTGTACACGTACGTTTCGAATGAAACACTAGATGTGCACGATAAAAGAATGCTAGCACATTGTTTACTTAGATTTATTTAATGTATACATAATTACCGTTCGAGGTCATTTTTACGACAAAATCTGGATAAAGCAATGCCACTGCCAGGTTTGCTCCATTGTTCAGTGCCTGCTCGAGAGCTACGTATTTTAATAGAAACTTAATTAGAAATACATTTTTCATAGATGCAAGCTTAGTAAGAAAAACGAATAGAGTTTGTATTCAATGTTCAAATCTAAGATAAGTCAAAGTTTTGAATGGGGAGGAAAATCAGCCAGCCCATTGGACAGATTGCCCAGCTGTTAGATGAACACTTCCTGGATACACTACATTGTAAACTGCAAGGGTATTCAATGATAAATTTCCAATTGATAATGACAATGTAAATAACCTGTTGTCATTTGATGATGCAATAACAGACAATGATCCGAATAGGTTTGGAATCAGAACTGGGAGTGTATAAGGTACGGATAATGCCGGTGAAAAAGTCAATGTTCCATTGGATAGATCGACATATTGTCCGGATAAAGCAAACGGTAAATGCCAAAATACTATATGAAAACCATAATGTGATGTAATCCAAGGTCTCCCTCCCACACCATAACCATCCGCTGCATAGATTCCATAAGTATTCCATTGATCGTTCAATACTTGTCGAACAAGATTTAAACCTTTTTGCGATTGCACTAATGCACTCTCTGGTTCAATCTTAAACCATAGATTCAATACTGGCCAATCTTGCGAAGCACCCATCCATATGGAGTTATGTTGTTGATTGGTTAACGGTTCTCGTCCTGTTAACATTCGCAAGTCATACGCCGTATCTGATAGTCGGACTTCACTTTCCAAATGTTTCAGCATGATCGATATATTGTAGAGACTGCCCAACCCGTACGTATATGCTAAAACTTGCCCGTACAACGCATCGGTGAATATTGCCTTTTCACCATGTCCACCCGTGCANTGAAGTCGATGATATCAAGTGTGTGTTGACTTTCGAAAACCAAAGTATTCTACTTGACGTAAGACTTAATACTAGCAGTTCTTTCATTATTCTGATTTTGTTCGAGATTGCAGTCGAACAGCGCGAGTCCATGTGTACTGAAACATACTGAAGACAAAGTGACATTGAACCTTCGAAAGGATACTGGCCCAATCGATTATTATTTTATTGCAGTCGAGTTTTATGCATTTTGTTTTACAAAACATGATAATCACGTGCATGACATATGTGATAAACTTGGATTACCCCTTGAAATATTAAAACGAAGAGGTACTCCTGTTGATCGTTTGCTTAAAAACACACAGACCAATGGTGAGTTAAGTAAAGTACAGAACTTCTTCAAACGAAATAAAACTTTAGAGCCGTTTTCAATCAGTGAAATGGTACAGCAGCAAGAACAAGAGGATCAACAACAGCAACAACAACATATTCAGCTGGACCGACAACAGCAACAACAACATATTCAGCTGGACCGACAACAGCAACAACAACATATTCAGCTGGACCAACAACAGCAACAACAACAGATTCAGCTGGATCAACAACGACAACAACAAAAGGGGCAACAGCAACAATCAAGTCAGAAACAGTCATTTCTTCAAAATCTACGAAAGTCAGTATTTGTACGCGAGATTGAGGGCCTTTCATTAAAGTTCGAGAGAATGTTTCTGGAACAGTAAACTTTAATTGACAGAGATTTCGAAGAGTCTCTTAAGAGAATATCAGTGCTCCTATTTACATCAAACTGAAATTTTCTTATTTTTTAAGGTCTGGAAATTCTCAACGATATTTTCTCAAAGATATCTAATCCATAGAACTTCAGGACACAAATTCTGTCATTTCCGCTTTCGCCTACCCATACATTCTAATTTTATTCTATTTGTTTTTTTTAGTTGGTGGTCATCTGGTCGAAAGACAAAGAATAGCAGTGTTGTTCCTATTTTTGGTGAAGATGAATCAGAAAGTAGTCCGGCAACGACGACGGGTCAACAAGACCGTGAGGTTGGCAATCAAAACCGTCAACTTTCCCCCGTCATAGGTGTTGGAGGCGACTACACTATTCAAACCTACTCATCGCGTAAACACGTTCCTATGCCAGATTTTAGGGATGTTGAAAACGAAAAACAACATCATTGGAACAAGATTTATCAAATTCAATCTTATAATCATTCGAAACTTATTCAATTAGAACATACAAAAACAGAGATTTCCACAGCATGTGAACAAATACCTCCAGAGAATATGACACGTTTCAATAGGACTATCCATTCAATTCCATTGTATGTTGAGCAAAATGTAGTCATCACGGAAACGATGGTCGATCAGGCACATCAATTGGCCTTTCTACTTATCAATCTTGCCATTCGTGTTTTCAAGATCTCCAAAAAAACATTACATCTTTTTCGGGATGTTGATAGTGGTAAGCGTGCACAACTTTCTCCGATGACTTCCTTCGACGCTTTGTTGTTTAGGTAAAATAGCGTTCAATTACGAAGGAGCGCTTTTTTTCAATCTTCGTTATTTTGAACAAATCTTCGCCAANTGAACCACGAAATTCATAAATGTATCCACGATCTTTGGATTTGTATTGAAATGATTGAGAAATTGATGAAGAGAATAACAAGGCGGAATGTTCAAACCATCCAGGAGAAAATGAACGCTTTTCTTCATTCGATAAACTCAAATCATTTCGACAAATTTAATTTAATTTGATTCGTTGTGGGCATAGTTGTGTTCGAATTCGTGATTGTTTCATCAACGCCCAACCGAGAAGTCGATTTGAAGTGTCATTGAGATATCCACGAAGATATTCCACATTCTTTCCATTGTACCATTTGTGTGCACGAATCTTTCCAACAAAATCTTCTTCTAACCATTCCCAATACTCGTTCATTGATGAGATTTCCACTGAGAATGATTTTCGAAGATGTCGAACTTGAAACGAAGCGTTTTCATTATGATTTGAATAAACAATCACAGACAGAAGGGAAAGAAAAGAAATGTAAAAGATGATTTCTCGAATACTTTTCCACATTTGAAGTTCACGAAGACGAATTTGTCGAGCACAAGCGATTTCATTTGGAGTTAATCGATTGGAACGAGTAGGTGGAGTAATTTCAATTGATGAATGAAGATTTTCTTCATCTTTGCTCAACATAAATTGATTTTCATCGAAATATTCTTTTGCTTCTTCATCTTCAATTCTCGATTTGCGACAAAAAAATGCGAAAAAGATTCCCAAAGATAAAATCTATTCGAAAAAGAGATACTCATTTGAGATCAAGCGAAAGAGGATCGTCACCTTAATTGGTTCGGTGAGAAGAATCGATGAGAAGAATGACGAAAGAACTGAAATGAGTCATTGTTGACTTTTCACATCACGAAATTCAATTCCACGAGCAATGATAAAGAATATCGAAATGATACCTAGCAGAAGAGAAATTCCATATGCAACGAATAAACACCACCATGGAAATGTTAATGAACGTTTCTTCTTGTTCTCTTTACAGGTTGACTTTATTCGATGATGACACGATCGAAGTCGACGAAACATTTGAATCAACAAAATACTTGGTATCAATGAAATCATCTCACTCACTATGCCAATCAGAACCTGATCTGATGTGATGGAAAATGTTCCGAAGGAAAGACTCGTTGCTTTCTTGACTTGGGCTTCATTTCGGAGATCATAATACATGATATTCGATTTGATGGTGGACGAGCAAAGATCGAAAACCATAAATGACCATCGGATAAACTATGAAATGTTTTCTTTGATAAAATATATGAAAACTCCTTCTTTTCTTTTTCACTTGCAACTGGAAATACGCGTTCAATTTTTTCATCATCTTTTTCCACTGCAAACCATCGTTGGCAAATAAAATAAGACATTTTCATTGTTTGTAAATCACGAACAATGATGTATTTGAGAAACCAAGATGCAAAAGAATCTTTTCCAGAATTATCGTGCCAAATATGAAGACAATTTAATAGTCCTAATGATTTTCGAACTCCCATGATAAATGAATCAATTCCACCACGTTGAAAAATTTCTCTTTGAGGATCATCGAATGTTCGAATACGAGTTAATTGATTTTCACCATATAAAACAAAATGAACTTTGGATTTTGTTCCTGAATCTTTTCTATGACCAGTAAAAACGATCAATTGATAAAAATAATTATCGGACAAAGGTGTTACACCCAATTTTTCAAAATCTTTTTTATCGTATTTCCGTGCATAAATCATCAAAATGATGTAGATGAGGATAACAGTGATGATAGTTAAGTAAATTGTTTTATTTTTGTGAAAATTTGCATTGTTAAAAACATAATTCCAATCGATCATCTCTGATAAAATGACAAATCCACTTGCGAATTTTGTTAAATGTGTAGAAAAACATTCTGTTTCATAATGATTGGTCTTCGATCCAACAGTTAATCCATAAGATTTCCATCGATTTTGTTCATCAAGGTAATAACAACCTGATATATAAACTCTCGTTTGATAATCTGAAGTGAAATGAACTGGATCAATTGGAATTGGAAGAGTTTCATTCGAACAGGATTCTTTGGATTCTGTTGAAGCCAATTTTCGTACACCAAATATCAATGTTTGATAACCAATTGTTTGTTGATTATCAATAAATACAGAAGGATTCTTCTGAACTGACGAACAAAATAATTTCCATCCATCGAGTTGATTCAAACTCGAGATGAACTGAAATTGGTAAAGAAGAAGTGATATTCACAAAATGATAATGAAATGTTTGATTGTGATAAGTCGAATTGAATAATGAAACATTATGATAGATCATTGGTGGAATTATAATATTCGGATCTCGTGGAATTCTCACTCGAATTGGATTTTGTTTTGTTGTTTTAAATGGAATTCCATTTCCATTTCGATCGAGAATTGTCAGTGAGATCATCGTGGAAAGATTCGTCTTAGAATTCTTGTCAAATACAGCTAATCGTTCTATCATTGATCTCACGAGACAAACAGGTGAAGTGTTTTCAAGAGAAGATGTAACATTTGATGAAAGATGAATTTCTGCTCGTCCAACTTGTTTGATTGAAATCACTTCGAATGAAACAAATGTTTTTGGTGTATCGATAATCATCTTCTGTCCGATATTCAAATGAATGTTGAACGATGAAGTGACCAACGAGATGATCTCATCGGCTTTCTTGCTGACTTGCCTCGCTAACTTTTCTTGATAAAATCGATTTCGATTTTCATTGATTTCCTCCATTGACAAATCGTTTCCATCAACGAATAATTTTTTCAAACAATGAAGATTTGATTTGATCAGATAAAAACCTTCTCAACTTACTCAAATTTGACCAATCAGAATCCAAATTTGTATCATAATCATCGGGAATCTTTGTCGAACGCTGAAAATCTGATTTCAAAAGATTTGATCTTTCTTGTAAAACTCCATTGACACCCTTATACTCGCACTGTATTTGTTTTTAGCTGGTGACTATTTGATCAAAAAATGGAGAACAACGGTATTGATTCTATTTCTGTTGAGTATAAACCAGAAAGTGGTTCAACCACAATGGCTTTAAAAGGCCACGATACTTTTTTCTAAAAGGATATCAGTTCTGTGAGTGATTTCGCTTCGCTTCAGACTCTTTCCCATACATTTCCTTCCCACCCAGAAAATAAAACAAACTGTGAACTGCTGCTATATACGGGTATATATTGTAGGATAACTCAAGCATTCTCTCGTTGCACACCATACTATTGGTCTATCACAGCCAGGCATCGATTTTACTTTTTACGCCCTCAACCTTTGACAATGTTAGCATTCGCTTGACATGCTGTGAAATGATTCATAAAAGATTGAAGCTGATGTAGAATGCAAAACGCAGGCGATTGACGTCTTATTTTCACAACTGTTTTAGTATTTATGGCTAATAGGAACACAATAAACTTTCAAGTCGAATTTCTTCATACAAGACTGATTTTTTTGCTTACACATAACTGAAGTTGAAAAGCTTCGATACGAAGGTGAGCATGATGGGCTGCTCTTTACCCGCCCACATGCTCTCTATAGATTTGTTTTTTTTTTCATTCCATTCCATTCCACTATAGCCAAAGGCAACATATTATGACTTCCTTTGTTCTATTGCTGCCGTAAACGGATTCATATTGATTCGTCACAAGAACAGAAACGGAGAGAATGAATACTTTCCTTTCTGTTTAGCAAACAACGCCATAGTTAAACAAAGATTTTTCGTTTTCTAATTGCATAACGTTGTGAACGGTAAACAAGTGAAAAAAGTGCATGACGCACTTCCTAAATGCATCGTTTTATAAACAGTTAGTTTTTTTTTCTCAAACGGCAGTCGTATTCTGTCATATTCAAAGTGGAGTGTTGATGAGACATTCATTTTGTGACCATAGAACTTGGCAGACGGTCTTACGATTTAAATAGAAAGATATCTTTTTCAGATACTACAAGAAAAGAACGTGAATCATGTCGAGTACTGCATGTGCTCTATCACCGCATGATCTTCGCTTGGAAGCATTACAGAATGGTTCGGAACAGCGTGTCGTAGTCAATCAAAAAATGCTCATCGACAAAATGCTTGCTCGCTATTCATCTGACTTTGCTGTTTTTCGCGAACTCATTCAAAACTCTGATGACGCTCAAGCATCATCATTTCATTTGGAAATAACGTGTAATGTACCCGTGGGTATATCAAATATTCAACATTCGGTAGACAAACAACCAAACATTCCCATCGATTTTCACAACAGTACAATCACTGAAATTCGCTCCGTTAATAACGGGTTTGTGTTTAGTCAAACTGATTGGAGGCGCGTAGCATCTATTGCCGAGGGCAATACAAATGTTGATTCAGTTGGACAATTTGGCGTGGGATTTTTCTCTGTTTTTTCATTTTCAAAAGAACCAATAATCACATCAGGAAATGAATATATGATATTTATTTGGCGAGATGATGATTCATTAACAACGTTTCGTCATGAATTACCTATCGAACAACGATCGAAGTTGACTTCTGTTATTCTGAAAATGCAAGCTAAATATGTCATACAAATTGAGACGAATCAAAATGATGAGACAACAGATGAACATACAACTATGAATAGACGCAATGTCACACCAAATCAGAAAATGACAAAGAAGGTATCTATAGAAGAAAATGTTCCATCAATCGATTTAACAAAACTTAAAATCTATTTCACCAAAGGTAAGATGATGACAAAGAAGTCATTATTCTTTTATGTTTCATTTTCTTCTGACTAGTGCTTTCATTTACGAAATACATTAAAGAACTCGCTATAAAAATCAACGGCTTTACAGTATTCCAAATACACAAAACGACGACACCTATGCCATCTATTCCAGACATAATTCCATTCCAAAAGCAAGCTTCTGCTAACAACATATTACTTCTCAATTCATTGGTACAAACTGAACAAACGTTTACTATTGACAATAGTTCTACAATAACTTTAAATCACATCACTGTCGATGCAAAAGTTACTATTGATGAAGAATTTCATAATCATATTCAAGCTATATTGAAAAAACGTTTACCATCCAATATTCAAATTCAATTCTTATTTGCTTCGAATAGTGTAAAAACATGTTTTGTTTCTTATTGGATATGTTATTATGTCTTTTCTCTTTGTTTTTTACAGCTTATTGCCAATCAACAAGTGCGTATGTCATCGACCAATACTAACATTCTCAACACCTTGATTCCTTTGAAATTTCCAAGTAAAAACATCATACCATCAGGTCATATATTTATCGGTCTTGGTACACATCAAACCACTGGCATTGGAATGCATATTTATAGTCATTTAATTCCCACTATCGAACGAGAAAATATTGATTTACAAAACATATACATTGCGAAATGGAATAAAGAAATCCTCGTTTCAGCTGGACAAATTGTTCGGTATATTTACGATCAAGATATGCTTATCAACTCGAAAGGAACTCAGGGAAAAGTCTATGAATATTCAATAGTTATGGCACCGTATTCATTCCAACCATCCGTACCAAATAATGTCATTGGTATGCTATTTCATTACTTCATAAAGACGTCACATTCCTAACACGATGATTTCGAATCAATTACTGAAATTGAAATATGTATTCAATATCTCTCGTAGAAAATGTGATACATCTTCAAAATTCAGAATACATACCATAATCGAGAGGCAGAACGATCTGATCTGAGATCACTGAAGATAATCTTCTATGTATTTCTTTTCTATATTATATAGGTCAAATGATTGTTGATGGCTTTTTCGCTTCGGATACAGATATTCTCGTACCTGTACAAATGAAGCCATCTGAGGAAGTGCTTTCTGTTCTACCATCGACCAAAGCTTTTCTGTGTAATTCAAAACAACTTTATGGATTTCTGGTACTTCCACTGATTCCATTTCAATTAAAAACAAATGGTCTCATAACAACTCTTGTAAGTCGTCATTTGATCGATTATGTAGATAAATCCATGATCGAAAGAACGCTCATGACGTCCGTTCTTTCTCCATCACAATTTACTCAATTGTTGCACTGGCTATTTGGCAATGGTATCATAAACGATGAATATACAAAACGTGTCTTGTCCAATGTCTGTTTACATGATGCTAATAATCATCCATCAGGAATTCCATTGAAAAATATTGAGTATTATGATGTCCTAAATATTCCATCGTTATTACCAACACCGTTGAATATTTTACCGAAGGATATATCGACTATTCTTTCTCAAGAACAACTTGAGCAACAACTTGGTCTATTGCCTTTGAAGCTCAAATATATACTCGACTTTTATCTACATAATAAACAATTACGACAAATAACGTCGTCGGAAACATTTCCTTGTTTACTCAGTCTCATTTCAACACATTCTAGCCAGTTGACTCAAGATGAGTGGACTACAATAATAAAAACTTTGTCGATGACTGTATGTATACCGACCACACAAGGTATGAAATTACCTCGTGAAGCATTTGTTTTATCAGCATCGGTTTCACCTCAATTACCTTGTATCATACTGAACATACTGCGATCGAACGAAAATAATAAAGATAAGCAATCGAACGAAAATTTGGAAAATCCTGTTTCCATTCAGTTTTTGAAAAGAATCGGTTGCCGTATGGTAAATTTGGATGTATTTGATGATGATAATGATGATCATTCATCAGCTTCATTCGATTCTGAAACTATGAGAACGTTTATTCAGACGTTAATCAAAGAACGGATGAATATGAGCCCAGCTGATTTTGACGCATTAAAAGAAAAACCATCGCTGAAAGGTCAGCTTAAGAAAACCCTATAGATAGTAGCAGTTCTTGACCCGTATCATTTCCACTCTGTGTATTTAGGTACGACGTTGATACCGACAAAAGAAACAACGCGAAAATACGTACCTCGAGATCTTTACTTTCCATCTGTAGCCATTCAATTGGAGTGGACGACATTGCCGATTATTGATTGGCCGAATATACATCCATCTTCACCTGAATATGCTTTCCTCAAAGAGATCGGTGTGAGAGAAGTACCCACTCTACATAAACTCGTCGAACGAATCATTGAAGAGCATAATACAGGGAAGCAAAAGCCAAGCACAGGCGAAAGATATAAAATACCACATGGGTTGATATTTTTCGCTGAAAAATTTGAACGGCACTATCATAGTGAATGGCAAACAAGTACAGTCAAAAGATACAGTTTTCTACCATCAAATGTTCCAGGAAAAACTAGTGCGGATGATGTGATACTGTTACCACCAAATGAAGTGTTCCGAAGTGTTAATCCGTTATGTCCCAGTCTTTTACCGGATGTGCTAAATTTATTCCAGAAGCACTCGATTCACTTGTCTCTCGACATCGACAATCATCCACCTCTTTCGAAAGCATTTAATAGTTTACTGGAAAAGAAGACAACTCTTTTAACCAAACAAACAGCATCGACGATATTTGCATATTTGCATCAACTCAAAGAATTAGATCATCAGTTTATTCAAAAAGTCGCTGAATATAATTTCATTCCACTACAAGGTTGAGTAATATTTCTAAAGAGAACAGAATTCTATTAAAATTCGTTTAGATCAATCAAATAGCAATACTTTGATGAAACCATCGCAAGTTTTTATCCATTCAAATATTACGCCTGAGCAAACCGATGCGGGCAGAATCGCTGACATGGATACAAGTGGTCTTATTGACTATGTTGATTTCGGTACCGATGCTAATGCATTTCTTCTTAATATCGGTGTTGCGAGCCATCCAAAACCTGCAATTCTTGCCAAGCTTATGATTGACAGACAAGCGAACTATTTTGCCGATGCAGCAGGAAACCACGATATGTTGAATAAAAAAGTTGATGTGTATATCAGTTGCCTTAAAATACTTGCACTGGCTGCTGCTTGCTCAAAAGATCTTCAGCAAGAGCCATTGTATACCCGATTGAGAACTAGTGCTTGGTGCCTTGGTTTTCGAATGACCGAACGGGCAAATGGTACCTCAATACGAATATCTAAGATTGTGAGACCAGATGAAGTGTACCTTGATGATAATCACATCTATTCAGAGAAATTTCGACCATTATTGTCACCTTGTGAAGCAGAGTTGTCTAAACTATACCAGCGCTTTGGCTCCAGATGGTTATCCGAATGTGTGAAACAAACAAAAACATCCATAGGTACAGTCTGGTTTCATGAGCAATTTCACAGCTCGTCTGAAATCTTTCGTAACTAAAAAGTATCAAATCAGTAAAGCACTGCTTTTATATACTTGTCCGTTTTCGCCGACAGTTTGGAGTTAAAAATGTTCGCTTATGAGACAATAGACTCTTCGCATGATTTCTGAGATAAACTGTCATAGTTTTGTTTATTCAAGGTAAACCAACTACTTCTGCACGAACTAATAAATTACAAGATCTAATTCAATATCGCTTCCCAATGTTATTTGTCAACGATCGAGTAAATAATATAGTTCAAGCTGATGATCTGTGCAGTTTTAAAAAGAAGCATTCTCTTTTAGGGAGAACGTCTGGAAAACTGTATCGAAGAGCGTATCAGACTGCTCCGCACAACGCTTTCAATATATGAAGTCGATGATATCAAGTGTGTGTTGACTTTCGAAAACCAAAGTATTCTACTTGATGTAAGACTTAATACTAGCAGTTCTTTCATTATTCTGATTTTGTTCGAGATTGCAGTCGAACAGCGCGAGTCCATGTGTACTGAAACATACTGAAGACAAAGTGACATTGAACCTTCGAAAGGATACTGGCCCAATCGATTATTATTTTATTGCAGTCGAGTTTGATGCATTTTGTTTTACAAAACATGGTAATCACGTGCATGACATATGTGATAAACTTGGATTACCCCTTGAAATATTAAAACGAAGAGGTACTCCTGTTGATCGTTTGCTTAAAAACACACAGACGAATGGTGAGTTAAGTAAAGCACAGAACTTCTTCAAACGAAATAAAACTTTAGAGCCGTTTTCAATCAATGAAATGGCACAGCAGCAACAACAAGAGGACCAACAACAGCAGCAACAACATATTCAGCTGGACCAACAACAGCAACAACAACATATTCAGCTGGACCGACAACAGCAACAACAACAACAGATTCAGCTGGATCAACAACGACAACAACAAAAGGGGCAACAGCAACAATCAAGTCAGAAACTGTCATTTCTTCAAAATCTACGAAAGTCAGTATTTGTACGCGAGATTGAGGGCCTTTCATTAAAGTTCGAGAGAATTTTTCTGGAACAGTAAACTTTAATTGGCAGAGATTTCGAAGAGTCTCTTAAGAAAATAGCAGTGCTCCTATTTACACTAAACTGAAATTTCCCTATTTTTCAAGGTCTGAAAATTCTCAACGATATTTTCTCAAAGATATCTAATCCATAGAACTCCAGAAACGTTGTTAGAGCACTAGAAGTGGCCGTCAGGTTACAACTTCTGTCATTCTCGCTTTCGTCTACCCATACATCCTGATTCTATTCTATTTGTTTTTTTTTTAGTCGGTGGCCATCTGGTCGAAAAACGAAGAACAGCAGTGTTGTTCCTATTCCTGATGAACATGAATCAGAAAGTGACCCGGCAACGACGACGGATCAAAAAGACCGTGAGGTTGCCAATCAAAACCGCCAACTTTCCCCCATCATAGGTGTTGGAGGCGACTACACTATTCAAACCTACTCATCGCATAAACACGTTCCTATGCCAAATTTTGAGTCTGTTCAAAAGGAAGGACAACATAATTTGAACAATATTTACCGAATTCAATCTTATAATCATCCGAAACTTATTCAATTAGAACATACAAAAACAGAGATTTGCATAGCATGTGAACAAGTACCTCCAGCGAATATGACACGTTTCAGTAAGACCATCCATTCGATTCCATTGTATGTTGAGCAAAATGTGGTCATCACAGAAACGATGGTCGATCAAGCACATCAGTTGGCCTTTCTTCTTATCAATCTTGCCACTCGTGTTTTCAAGATCTCCAAAAAAACATTACATCTTTTTCGGGATGTTGATAGTAGTAAGTGTGCACAACTCTCTCCAATGACTTCCTTCGACGCTTTGTTGTTTAGGTAAAATAGCGTTCAATTACGAAGGAGCGCTTTTTTTCAATCTTCGTTATTTTGAACAAATCTTCGCCAATGAACTAAAACCTTATCTTCGCACGCCTCCTTCATCAAATCCTATAGTACACCAAGTCGTCAATTTTTATTTTATATGCACATGTCACGAATTGGCACACAATATTGCTCATGGACATGATGAATACTTTGTTAGCTACTTTGAAAAGATTGCAGTTAAATTCATGACAGAAAAAGATTTGTTTCTTGAACAATTCTCGTTCGGAAACTACGACGAACGAATGTAATTTGCGATTTGCTTGGAATTCATTCTCTTATTAATCCTAAAATAAATTTAACTAAGAATTGTTATACAATTCTGTTTTCAGTACATTCAATACGATCAAACGCGTGCAGATCAGGGTTGAGAGGGTGAAAGTAATGCTATTAGTGCAGCTTCATATTTGTTTACAGTTCTAAGACATTTATTTCTCAAGATTCGGGATTAATAGGTCAAAAGCAACAAATTGTCTTCCTTCGTCATGTTTCTGTGCACTTTCTAGCCATAAACGAATTTTTAGATTACTTGTTCCGCAAATTTCGTGTTGATCATGTTCATGACAGAATTTACCGTGTGAATGATGATGAATAGGTGCTTGCTGACTTCCTTCTCCATCTTGAGTGGACGTTGGACCTAAACTAATGGGAAAAGTTCCACCTGTTGAATCACATTGTTCAAAATAACACCAGTTTCTATTCGGACGAAACTTCTTATGAAAGACTTTCCCGCCCGTTTCAGGTTTTCGTTCGAAAAAGTCAATCACTTCTTCCTCTGTATGGTCAATCGGATTCCATTTCGTTTTGAAACGATGCGCAACACGTATGGCCATTTTCGACGGTGGCATATTCACGATCGCTGAAGAGATAATTTGATACATTAATCGATGGTCATATATCGATGGTGAATGTTCAGATTCATCGGTTTGAAATCGGCTTATTCCGCAACAATGAACATCACCGCTAAAAAACGTTATTCGTATGTTTTTCTCTCGGGAAATCTGTTGAAAACGAGCAAGTGCTCGATTTCGTTCTTCGATATGATTTTCATGTGTCCATTCATCGAGAAGATCATCGTACAATTCGGGTAAACCGAAGATAGAATTGGTTTGTTTGACTAATGGAACATTTCGCATTTTATTTGGAAGATTTTTTAGATGTTCAAATATCGTTTCGGCAATACGAACACGAACAAATGAAAATGGAACAGGAAATAGAATGATTGCATGTTTGACGTTCGGAGAAGCAGTTTCTAATTGGTTATAAATCATTTGCCAAGTTTTTTCCTCATGCACTCGTTCAGTCGTTCGTTCACTTCGACCATCTGTGCCAATAATAACCAAATTCGGACCACATTGAGCAAAGAAATTGTATCCTTGGTATCCAAATAGATAATGTTGCCGGGCTTTAGCTAAAGTCGTATGATGTTGAAATAAAAGTCTCATCTTTTGCGCCGAGTGAAATAGACCCATCATCATTGGACTATCGTGAATTAGTGGCGGGTACGATCCCGCTCCATCGAATATGTCATGATCGTCCCACGTCATTAGACTTGGAATTGATGAGAGAGCATTTCGAACTTCATCTCTTCGATTCCAATTTTCTGCATACGTGTTGAAATGATATTGTTCGACTTGATCTTGTAAATCTTGACGAAAATCTGTTGTCCATTTTTGATTCCATTCCATGTTAACCCACGCGCGTAAGAACGGAATGTCTTCGAAGATAAAATCGATATAGTTTTGATCGCCACCCCATAGTAACACATGAAACGGCTTTTCCTTGTGAACGGACAACAGATGATTCCAAACGTTGGAATAAGTTAAATCCGACGCGATGTCTTCAGTAACAGTAGCGTCAAAACCATTGCAGGAAAAGAATCCTCCACGCCATTTTTGATTGAATTGAGCAATGTAAAACTGGCCAGTTGTAACTTTTTCACCCCAATCGATCTTCCAAGAGATCTTTTCGTCGTTCTCACCCGGTGGAATACGGATAAAAATATTCACTCGATAAGCACGTAAATCAAAGATGTTTTCGTATAGGATTTCCCAAGTGTAATTAATCGACGTATTATTTCCACCCAGGAATTCAATATGTGGTTGTGTATAGGAGACATGTCGAAAGACTAACGCACTTCCGATCCATAGCATTCGATTTAAATCGGTTGTTATGAATTGAAAAAATGGTCCTAAAGCTTCACCGGGTGATTTTGGTGGGCGATTGATTGCCGGAGACTCGGTTGTTGACTGCGTCGGTGGAGGAAGATCAGGTATTTTTGATGTTGTGAATTTGGGAGGTGGATAATCGCCCATATATTGAGGATCGATATTAACTGGATTGGATGCGGTGGCAAGGTAATCGCCATGTTTATCTTTGGTGATTGTATCTTGAAGATTATTCATTTTTTCGTTTGTATGTCCTGGAGTGCAACGTGCAGAAGAAGAAAGAACGACTCAACCAATTTTTTCTTTTTTTTCTTGTTCTGTTAGTAAGTATATAAGAAGAGATAAAGATTTTTTATCTCACAGCAGAAACGAAACAAAAAAGACAACAGGAATCAGACGTTGCTCCTGAAGTGACGCATCTTTTCTTTCGAGTGGTTTTATTCTCGATTAAAAGAATGACTTGATTTCTCAAAGAACGCGAATATCAAATATTCACTATTTTGATTGTTTTCTCTTCATTTTCTCGAAAACAATATCTTTATGGATGATACGATCAATCAAATCCGTTGCAATCCTCAATTGTCTATCGACTTGTTCAAAAATAATATTACAGTGGCTGCATAATTCATTGTTGATCAATTTTGTAGAGCGCTGGTGCAATAACTTCAGTCAACGTTCGACAAGAGCGATGAGATGGGCAAGAAAAATGTTGTCGTTTTCTGTCATCCTGTATATATGTCAGCTTTACGTTGGGTATATTGACTTTAGTGACATAACTGAGTCACCACGTACACAGAAAAATGATCTTCCACCATTGTACGTGGAAAAAACCCAGAAACTTGCATTGGTATATGAGCGACTGTTGAAGTTTTTCTCATTTAATCAAAATGGCTGACATTGGTGATCAACTATTAGCAGAAGATGACGAACACAACCAAACACGTGAACAACAAGATATTGACTGGATTCAATATTTGAGAGACAAACTGGTAAAATTTCATTCCAAGGTGTCTTCGTATGGCACTAATGTTGCCACTGCAAAGGGTATTCAAAAATTATCGTCAGAATTCGAAATTCTTGTCTTCGGACCCGCACGAGTGGGTAAATCGACATTGATTAGAGAGATATCTGGCGACGAAACAATCGTCACTAGTGCTAAGATGAACGCTTGTACCACGTCTTCAGAAAAATATTCGGATAAATTTAATATCCAATGGTGGGATACACCAGGTAAGCCTCAATTACATAGCTTATAATATCATAAATTTCATAAAAACTATCCGTACTAATTTCGTCATCTGTTTATCACTTAATGTAGGCTTCGAGAATTGGTCAGTGAAAACAGCAAAAGACTTCTTCAAGGACTGTTTCTACGACCGAAAAATTCTACCGAAAGTCGCCATTTTTTGTCGCACAGCTAATTCTTTGGGTTCGAGCGATGTTGTCAAGTACATGTTTGATGAAATACAAAAAAACGGCATTCTTCTTCTCTATGTTGTGACGAAATGGCCGTTTATCCCAAAATCCGAACGAAAAGATATTCTTCGGGAAGCAGTCTCATTATTGGGCGGTCGATCAACAGGAGTGCTTCGATCATCATCAACCGGAAGTTTTCGGGCAATTGAATGTGCACCGAAAAAGGCCTATATCGTTCCAGTCAATTCAAAGGAAGATGAAGCTTTAGGTATGCGTGTTCCCAAGCAGAATTTGAGAACGTTAAGACAGATTCTCATTACGAAGCTGGATGATGAATCACAAGGCAAACTCGTTCAGTTATACAAAGATAATTTGGATTTTTGGTCAAAACTCGGCTATGGCGCTATCGAAATTATTGATGATCTGGGTGTAGGAACAGCTCCAGCGATGCTTTCAGCTGAAGAAAATGCAGTTTATACACAGGTGAAAAATGGCAACAATCCAGTCAAAAATGTTGCACCAGTTTTAATGGCAATCATTGACAAGTATTTTCAAAGTAGATAAGCGCTTTGTTGAATATTTAATCTAAACGAAATAGAAGAATCACGTTGTCACAATTAATATGAGCAAATAAATTGTATCATTGCTCTTGAGTTTAAAACATCCGATCATTAACTTAGTAAATCAGCATATCGACAAAAACTTCAGGTTTTCCCAGATGATTTTCGTCGGCGAAAATCATATATAAGAGCACTAAACATGACTTAATATTCTAATTAAGTATATATTCATCAACTTCGCATAGCTAGTCGATTCTCCAAATATTTCGAATAAGTATTTAATCGATTTTGAAGACAGTCGAAATTTCGCTATGCTTTCCGATGCTCAAAACGAATATTGCATTTTCATGTCTGAGAATTTTAAATATTATCTATCTAGAACGAAAAGCACATAATAATGAATAATAATTGTACTCCGTGACATCTACCGGTGGATGGTAAATTACTCTGCTATACAAACAAATCCCTCGCTTCGAATTACTTATAATTAATAGACACGAATAAAAACTCGAGAAAATAAATAGAAACAATGGCTCCAGTAAATCTCCGAGCGTCGTACATATGTTTGTTAAAAGCTTCAAGACTGCATAAAAGGATTGATTTGTTGCGCCCGCGCTCACAAGTGTAACGTTGCCATAGTAATGTTATTTTGTGCACTTTTTTGTTTTGAATCAATGAAAGCCACTTAGGGGTATCATGCTGCAAAATCAGTGTGACTGTTCTTTTTCTACATTTTTTATTCGATTTTTTTGAAATGTGCGATACAACACAAAGAAAAACAAACCGAGAAGGACATGCAGAAATAAGTTATTTGGGAGTTAGGATCTCGATTAGAATAGAAAAGAAAAGACGAAAAACTAAAACTTTGTTTATTTAGTTATAGTATATACTTAGAATGTTTATTTTCCACCACCACATGCGAAAGCAATACGACCTCCTGCAAATGAACTCAAGAAGAGTGAAAGTATTGTGAACAGATGGCCGGCTTCATATAAACTGGCTGAATAACTATTGTAAGCGATATAACGAGCACCTTCCGCTAATCCAGCTAACATGAAAAGACTAGCTAGGAAGAGTAAGAGACCGGGAATTAAATTGAGAAACCATTCGCTTAGTATTCCAAATGCCATCACAAGTGTAAGGACCGTGCCAAACGCGAGAAGGATAATACCGACAAGAGTTAAAGCAGCTGCATTTCGCATTCGGTAGTGGCAATCGCTATTACTGATTGCGACAGTTGGTGCTGTGTAGGAAGCATCGCAAAACGGATGAGCGTATGCGGTGCGTTGTGAACAGCCAATTTGGTTTCCAGTTGTTCCGTCATAAGTACAGTATGTGAAGAAATTGGTTGCACTAGTTATATAGTTTGCATTACCACTGATGTACCACTGGATGGTACCAACACCGACACAAGTAAGTACTAGGGCAACAAAACCGAAAACAACGGCGACTATACCCATAATTTTACTGATGTTATCTGCTGCTGTTCGAGCCATGGTTGATCACTGAAAATGTGTCAGTAATTTGAATAGTAAAACAATGGAATTTGACTGAAGTATTTATTCTTACCTTTTTTCGTAGGTGTGTTTACTTTTATAGAAAGTGAATCGGTACCCTATCTACGTAATAATTGTACCTGTAATTTATAGTGAATAAGGTTGCTACAACATTCAATTACAAACAAAACTTGTCGCGTTACTATCCTTGAGAATATATATATATATATACTGAATGTAATCTGTTCTTTTCTCGCTCTGTCCATTCTCTTCGGGTTGGTTAGTTACAAAAATCAACAAAGAAAGAAAGCAACACTTTGAATGACGTTTGTGTTGTAGTATACTACCAGTCGTAACTATGCGTCTCGATTGATCGCGTGTATGAATGCTTTCTGTTCAGACATGAGGAGAACCAAAAGTGAAGTACGCGCGCGAGAATGTCAACGGAAAAAAAATGTCATTGTTTCGATGGTAGATAATTACATACGGAATAGTCAGTACTCGATTGCAATCGGCTTGATAAGAATTTTATATTTTGAACGAACAGAAAAAGAATGATAATTGCAGTGTAGAAAACAATTTATTTATAAATTTGATGTCGATGAATAGAAACAGAGTGAAACAAAGAATGGCATATTTACAAGCATGAATACACCTGTTTCATCGTGAAAGTTCATATACATTTTAACTTCAAAAATGAAATTTTAATCATTCACTCTTCACTCAATAAAAAAGAATTCCATACTGAATAACCTTTTCCTTTCCTTCACTGTTGCCTTGCATGCTTTTTCAATGGCACAATCATCGCTTCTCCACACTGCCGTCATGGCTCAACGCTAATACTTTTTCGTCTACCATAGAAATGCAAATAAGCGATTCACGCGAACATTAAACTCTCTCCGTTTGCGTTTCACAAGTCAAATACAAACACTTCAAAGCAGAATTTAATTGCAACTATTAATATAAGCAAGAATGTGTTCTGATGCCAGGTGAATTTTGTTATTTTCACTTCGTAATTTCATATCATCACCCCCACAATCACACGTTGTTGTCGATGTGGGTGTAGAGAAAATGAATTACCATTATTTGGATCGAAGTTGATGGAGAAAATAATTTACATAGCAACTCAAACGCTACGCGGTCGTCAATACTTGAACATTCTGCATTTGACAAGTTGACAGTTTAATGACTGTGTATGGAACTATAACCGAGAAATTCCTTTTCTAGATGGTTTTGGTAGTGAAATGAAATAGAAATGCGAGATTATAATAATAAAACAACAAAAATACTGTTTAGAAGAAATTTCAACAACAGTTTAATAGATCTACAGTCGAATTGAAATAACGAACGATCAACGATCGGAGTATTAGAAATATAAAAAGCGTTGCTCTTGACCAATGCATACTTCGTTCAAGAAAGTTGTAGCGTTTGATCTGTTGAAAACATAAGATCATTTGTATGATTATGTATATCGTTCCATCAGATCTTCTTTGAAACTGTCGGACACATAATGAATTCAATTTGATGCCTATAACATATGCTAATGCTATGCCGTCGTTGTCAGAATTAGGTCTACATACCCCTAGCGCACCAAATATATCAAATTCAGAATAATCAGAAAGATAAAGTACGCAACAATTGTATAAGAGATGGTGATAAAAACGTTGCCTTTGCGGTATCATAAATATCAAACATAGAAAAAGCGGCTCTAATACAGAACAAAAGGAGACTGGGACTTCGTGGAGGACTATCTGTACTTTAGTAATGTAAAATTAATCAGCAATGCACGAGTCAGGATGGATATACTAGTTACCATCAGTGATTCTGGAAAGACGAAATCTTCTGATCAGCTTTCCTTTTCAGAATCAGTTCCCACCAATGATGCCGAACAAATACACATTGTTCAATCCTCTTAAACGACCATATCCACCGATTGAATCCGACAAATCTGAGCTTGAGCCTAATTTTAGCGACAGTATATCGCATCCTTCGTCAAATGATCCACCATATTTTGCAATAACTTCAAATCAGACGTACGCTTTACTGTACACTAATCTTATCTCTATATCATTCCCAGTACTCATTATTGCCGTCGGAGTGACTATATCTCATATTTTGCTTGTCTATTCCATGTCATATGACCAAAGCACAAAGTACAGATGTTGCCGAAGACTATGGTATTATTGCTCTTAACAATTCTTTTATAACTTTAAGCGCTGGCATCATATTCACGGTGCTCATATCCCAATCAGTACACAAACTCAATCTTTTAGCAAGTTCATTCTTTATATTGACGCTACACGGAACTAAAAAATGTTATTACGGCGCACGAGAAGATTGAATTGATAACTATCGTATTTTATTATTATGAGGATGAGAATATGAACAAATTAGAGCAACTTGCTAATTCTTCCCTATAAAATGCTTCGAATTCAATTTACACTACAAGTGAAGCGAATCGGCAATTCACTGAGAAACTATCTGAACGGGAAGAGCCATTTCATATAATACATTTCAAAAGTGATCTGAAGCATCCATTGGTCATTAAAAAGAACTTTAAAAAACTCCATTTATTATTGGCAATAGTTGAAGGCGAATATTCTACAGTCAATGCAAGAGAAACAGAAAAGCACGATAATGTATTAAAGGACTTACGACAATTTGCGTTGTTCTGTGAAGGAGAACGTGCAAAGAACTGTCGTGTTCATTATTGACGAAATCAACTCTTCTTCTGAGTAAACGCAAGTGTTAATAAGAATAATTTATAATCATTTTACCATTCTTCGCTATCGGAATGAATTACCACAATAATTGCGGCTTGTAACTTCCATTTATCCTTCCCATGTAAAAATTTTTTTGGTCTAAACGCGTTTCGAGTGCGTGCCAGATGCGTCTAAATCGAAATAACCGGGCGCGTCCACGGTGAAACAAAATAGGGTGTCTAGACGCAGTTCAAAACTAACTGCATCTGGATGCGCTTACATTAAATTTCAAAATTAGGCAAAAAATCTTTCAGTTCATCTCAGATTCGAACTGAGTCGCCATCGCAGTCATCTTCTAATGGTCTTAGGCTATCCTCAGACATGAACTGAATTTTTCTCTTACTTGCCGAGATACAGATTTGAACAGATGAACCATCGATCAGTAGTCTTGAACATACACCACTAAGCTATACTTGCTCGAAACATATCAGTATAGAAAACGATATGTAGCTGACTACACGTTTGAACTTATACAAATCAAGACAACGATATTTATTTTATGTCGTTTCGAAGCAAACACAACTCATCGTCGTACTTTTCTTCAATAATCTCATACAATTTCAAACAAATTGGTATTTTACCCTTTCTCTATTTCTATCTGAGATTTCATCTACAATAACAAATACTGAACGAGATTCAGATAAGGTAGCTATTTATAACCGATGACTTTCAACTGATTTTCGACGTTTTGCCTCAAGAACAGATATAAACTGATTATTGAGAATATCTTTTCAATACTTAACAAGGATGATTTCCATCTAACTACTCAATTTCTGATAGAGTATTTTGTAACTGAAAGTCTTTACATAAAGAAAACTGTTTTGATATTTTAAAAGGCAGAGAATCAGTAGTTTTGGAACGGCAGTTAGCCTAAGCTAATAAAAGTAAACGCATTGAAATGCATCTTAACTGATTTATACTGTGTCTAAACGCATTTCAGTAAGCTTTGTCAACGCAGTCAAGTACTACTTCCTACAAACATGCGTCAGACTGAGTTTGATACTAGTTACACTTGCGTTTGGTTGCGTTTTGTTTTTGAGTGAAGACCACATCTGAACGCGATCGTGTTAATATGCGCATCTGGATGCAGCTAAAAAGTGTTCTGACTGCGTCTGAACGCGACTATACACAAAATTGCGTCAACATGCAACGGAAAATTATTTCATTTTGCGTCCAGATGCACTTCTATAGTAATACGCATTTGAACGCGATAAAATTGACTTTAAACCGCGTCTAGATGCGACTTTGAAAGTCATATGCGCCTGAACGCGTTTATCCTGCGTCTGGCGTTTACATGGGTTATCTTATTCTAAATTAGCTGATAGTATCCATCGGAAACTACGTTCTTGAACACCAAAATAATTGAATTACTTCACATACAAAAAAGCCATATTCATTTGTTTACCTACTCTTGTCACTAACTGGTATCACAGATGAAAACTACAAGAGAACAAAGAAATGAAGAGTGCTTTGTCTTTTTTGGCAAAGTATCGCGTTAATCGATTCTAAAACAGAATCGACAATTATTATATTTATAACAGACGAAAAGAGAATTTTAGTTTTTGAGTTGTTGACACGATCTTATTGTAGAAGAATTAATCTTGGAAATAATTGGTTGCGACAGATTGATACAAAAAAAGTTCGAATGCATCGCTGTGTCAACATTGAGTCACCAATTGAACATGCTGAATTGTAGATTTGACACGAGAGTGACAACAAAGCACTAGTTCACTATACAATTCCATAAGTTTTCAACCAAAGTACTTCATTAATTGCGCACATTTTATTTTGTCAGAAGGCTATCGAATATCCAGTTTGAAGTTTGGGAAGGATTGATGAGCTTTCATCAGTCGTTCTTTACCTGTCGCAGAGAAATTGCAATGGGATGCGAACAGATAGGCCAATGATTGACTATACATGATCATTTGAATAAATGAATCGATACTTCCATCAGTTAGGAGCATGTTCTCGCTAACGGACAAAAAACGAAGAGTCGTATTACGATTTGAAATTGCATCAGCTAACATTCGAATCCCAACATCCGTTATCTGATTTTTGCAAAGCCACAGATTAATCAATGATTTGTTTCCACTGATGATTTGTACGACATGTTTCACACCTACATCTGTGATACCAATACCTCCAAGTTCAAGTGTCTTGATTATGGTATTGTTTGTCAGAGTATTGACAAGAAAAGAAAGACCTTCATCACCTATTGGATTCCCATAAAGAATGAGTGTTTTCAACGGATAGTCGTTATCCAATCTTTGAGCTAAAATGTCGATGCCAGATGCTGTAATATTATTTGATGCCAGATTGAGCCCGGAACAATTTTTTTTCATAATCGCTTCCTTGACAACGAATTCCATGTCTTCATCAGTGACATTTTGATTATTAAGATTTATAGTAGTATGGCTTCCGTATTTCTGCATCGTTCGCTGTACATCTGGATTTACACGTTGATTAACTGCAACCACCGGTTTCGGCCTAGGTCTTGGAATTGGTTCTGTCGAGATAGTTCTGATCACTATTTTGATGGAAAATCAACAATTAAGTTAGATATAATACTTAAACTGCCGTTTTCCTGTACCTGCAGGTAGTTTGTTTGAAACAAGAGTAGAATTTGATTGTACTTCTTCCAATTGAATTAAGTGAAGTCCATGACCTTGATCAAGACAGCCACGTACTCGAAATTGCGTGGCAGGAAGAAGAAGTATCTCATTCTCTGATGCAAAGTACGAATATTCGGAGATGTCTTTTCCTGAATGGCATTCAATGGTGAATAATGTTCGTTCACTTGTCATACCCAAAAATGCATCCGACTGAAGTACGTTAATATTATTCGTACATGAAGAAAATCCCCACCAGGTAATTGTTTCGTCGGTCTTGTAGAACCTGCTAAAATCTAACTTCACTCCTCGATATACAAATTTATGTAAATCTGGAAGACGTGACAATGCTGTAAGAAAGAGTTTTAGATATAAATACCATGGTTTCAGTTTATTTCTGGTCTCTGATCGTAATGTTTTGTTTAAAGAAACGTAAAGACACTCGTCGATCGGCTCCCAATCCATCGTATAAAGCATGATTGATGCTGCCTCATCTACTGTTAGTTTGTCAGTGATCTGATCTTGACATCGCTCCTTGACAATAAACGCATAGTTTTCGATCGCAGGTAGAAACGAAACTAGTGGTTCGATAGCTATTTCCAGAGGAACAATAGGCATATGTTCATATCCATCTATTGGTAGAAGTGTTCTAATTGGCTCCTGATTAATATCAAAGAAACGAAGGATTCGTCGCTGATTGCGCCCAAGTTCGTTTGTTGCCATTTTCTCTCACTGAAAAATGAATTGAGTTATCGCTTTCCCAGTACTTTTTCAAGTCTGATATGCCAGGCAGCTGCTTCGACAAGATAAACACGTGGCGACAGAAAAGAAAAAAAAATTTCTCCTGATTACATACGCCTTCGTTGGTAGACCAACTTTGTAGAAAAGAAAAAGAACATGTTTATTGTGAATTTTAACGGAATTACTTTTTTACAACGCTTCGAAGTCCTCCGAATGGAAAAATTATATTCAATGACACGCGCTCGTTTTGGGCCGATCGCTTGAAACTGTTGACATATTCTGGATAAGCTTGTCTTCGTTGGAGGACGTCGTACACCATGTATTTTGTTCGTCCCATCACGATACAGAAGCATAGAAAAGACAAGTTCATTTTGATTTGACTTGTAGGAATTTTCAGCAAGGTAGAAACCACCACCAAACATACCACTTAAGTTCGACAATCAAGGATCGTACCCATGATGTAATATATGATGCACGGCTTCAGCACCACATCCATGGAATAACCAGTATTCGTTCGATTGTTTCTGTAGTAAAGGCGTTAATAAAGGGTGGTTTTCCAAATGGATTGAACAACCAGAATTATGCAATCTATGGTGATTTTTCTCGATAATATTTACCTAGAAACAAGTTCGATCATCGTGCTTACGGATTGTGGAATTTAATAGTCTATTGACTCGCTGAAATTCAGACGATTCATTTAATAAGTGAACTTCATTATAAGATTCTTTCGGGGTATTTGGTTCCCAATAAGATGGCGCCTATTTTGAAATAATTAATATATGTTCCTGGTCGATTTCCTGATTTATCAATCTCAAATCACGGTCCAATGAGCGAGTACAGTTTTCAACTTGATCGATAAACTAAAGTTCGTCTTCTTCACGTTCAGAATTATTCACAAGTTGTGTCCTTTGTGAATCCGTCTCACACTTGTCTGTTTCCAGACCAACTTGATGAGAGTAATGCTCAAAATGCGCACGATTTATTCGGTAACAACCAATACCATATTTGCACGCTGGAAGCGCAATTCTCGATAATTTCTCAGCTTCGGTTTCATAAGAAAGGATAGCATTCAAATGATTCTCTTGGGATATAAAGCGCATGTTTGGATCTGCAACGTGTCGCCTGATACTGAAACGCGATTTAACCATCTAATATGGAAGTGTCCAATTCTTCGATAGTGAATGTATTCAAGCATACATACTTGTTCCGTTCGTTTTATGTTTTCTTGAGCGTGCACACAAATATAGAGTAGTAATTGTCGTGAAGTGCATAGAAAATTCCAACTCACAAGGTGCGCTTCTTATCTGTGGAAAAACAACATGTCATAACAAAAGCGTCTGTTTAGCCTATTTTCTTTTGTTTCTCTTACAACACACACACACAGATAAATGATACTACTTGAAAAAAAATTTATTTCAAGATCTTCTGTTACACTCATGCACAGTCGCATTCCCTTTGATTAATATATATGAAGTCGAGTTTCTCGCTATGAAAAACGAAAGTGTTAGATCGAAAGAAGCGAGAGCTAATTTCCATCGTCGAAAATATCATAATTCGTAAAAGACAACTGAATCCACCCACCGCTAATCCAATATTTATTGAAATAGTTTGGATTAGGACCTGTGAATAAACTCCTAGTTGTTAGTTTCATGCATAAATTCCTGCTCTAATCATAGAGAATTACTGCAGTATAATCCATATCGATAAATTCGAATTGAGCAAACCACTGTCCATTGTGATATTCAATCCAAATATCACTATCCAAACGTTTAATGACTTTTCCTGTACCGCCCGAGTTCCTCCATTCTGCAGTTAATCCGGATTGTTTCAAATAACTTGAAGTGCTGGAAGAACTTTCGGGAAACTAAATCCATCTACCACTAACCTCCCACCGGTAACATTCGCCTATATTAAAGCCCGCATAAAGAGCAGTGCGAGTTAGCCTGACGTATAATTTTCGAGTGCTATCGTAGAGAATCACCTCGCGATCTTTTATACCTACTAAATCGAACGTGGCAAACCATTGATTATTATGATATTCAATCCAAACGTCTCGATCCCAATTTTTGACAATTCCTGCAGTATTTCCATTATTCATCCATTTTCCAGTTCGAATTCCACAAGTTCAAGTTGGACTTTCTTGTTGTATTTGTCTCTTCATCCGCAATTCTTATCTTCCCTGTGTCTTATTATATATATTATTAAAAGTCTGGCTTAATTGACCCCAAACGTTGCAGACAAATTCATGGTCAGCACATTTATCATCATACCGAGCCATTCTCATAATTCTGTCTTGTCGAACTTCACCCGCACTCTGTACTAGAACGGCAAGCTCATTTCCATGTTGTGACACAATTTCAGCTTCGTTAGTTCTTACAAAATAACCCACGTATCTTAACATTGCAGCGTAGCCAGATATATTTTGTCCGTAACTATTTGTAACACCAACGTCGGCCCAATTGATCCTACCACTTCTCACTACTCCCTGCCTATTCGTAGCCGATATAAATCTCTCCAGAAATTTCGTTTTCAGAATAACGTCGATTAGTTGAGACATATTTTCCAGAAATTATATTCCGGACTGTTGGGTCTTACGCCTCTTTTATTTCTCTCGCGATAAATATTTGCCACTGGAATTGTCGTATTGTCCTCATTCCCAGATTGAATGTCTTCTTCTTCTTGAAGAGTGGATAAAAAATACACACACAGTATAAAAGCCAATGGTAATAATTTCACCATAGTTCTGGTTAATTTCAAGATCTAAGACGATTTGTATAGAACTTATATATGTAGCACTCAAGTTTCAACAGAGGATACAACCATGTCACTGGTTATGCAGTGCTAATCTAGGCTCGATATCTAAGAGAATAAATTCTTCCATGGGAGAAAAATCAAGTGTATTTCTTCCCATCCAATAGAATCTATATACGTTCTACACGATTCTATACCGTAAAGTACACAATCTTTTGCTATATGAGAAAAAGCGTAATTATATCTAGTTCGTTTTGTTTTTTACAAGACAGCTTGAATCTTAATCTACGCATTGTTATCTATAATTTTATATTATAGTTTTTATTGATAGACGCTTTTTTTTCTATTACATTCGGGTGCATGTAGCACTGGCTTCTTTCCGTTAAAGTTCTTGTTTATTCGAGCAATAAGCACTTACGCATCTCATTGCTATGGGATAGTAGGGAAAAGGTTTCTGTAATCTTGCACTTTCCGATTCGTTGACCTACGCTGAAAGTCTGTAAAGAAAGTTCACCGAGTTTCGATGATTTATATTTAATTACNCAGTTTCTAATTGGTTATAAATCATTTGCCAAGTTTTTTCCTCATGCACTCGTTCAGTCGTTCGTTCACTTCGACCATCTGTGCCAATAATAACCAAATTCGGACCACATTGAGCAAAGAAATTGTATCCTTGGTATCCAAATAGATAATGTTGTCGCGCTTTAGCTAAAGTCGTATGATGTTGAAATAAAAGTCTCATCTTTTGCGCGGAGTGAAATAGACCCATCATCATTGGACTATCGTGAATTAGTGGTGGGTACGATCCCGCTCCATCGAATATATCATGATCATCCCACGTCATTAGACTTGGAATTGATGAGAGAGCATTTCGAACTTCATCTCTTCGATTCCAATTTTCTGCATACGTGTTGAAATGATATTGTTCGACTTGATCTTGTAAATCTTGACGAAAATCTGTTGTCCATTTTTGATTCCATTCCATGTTAACCCAAGCGCGTAAGAACGGAATATCTTCGAAGATAAAATCGATATAGTTTTGATCGCCACCCCATAGTAGCACATGAAATGGCTTCTCCTTGTGGACGGACAACAGATGATTCCAAACGTTAGAATAAGTTAAATCCGACGCAATATCTTCAGTAACAGTAGCGTCAAAACCATTGCAGGAAAAGAATCCTCCACGCCATTTTTGATTGAATTGAGCAATGTAAAACTGTCCAGTTGTAACTTTTTCACCCCAATCGATCTTCCAGGAAACCTGTTCGTCGTTTTCACCCGGTGGAATACGAATAAAAATGTTCACTCGATAAGCACGTAAATCAAAGATATTTTCGTATAGGATTTCCCAATTGTAATTAATCGACATATCATTTCCACACAAGAATTCAATATGTGGTTGTACATAGGAGACATGTCGAAAGACTAACGCACTTCCGATCCATAGCATTCGGTTTAAATCGGTTGTTATGAATTGAAAAAATGGTCCTAAAGCTTCACCGGGCGATTTTGGTGGACGATTGATTGCCGGAGACTCAGTTGTTGACTGCGTCGGTGGAGGAAGATCAGGTATTTTTGATGTAGTGAATTTGGGAGGTGGATAATCGCCCATATATTGAGGATCGGTATTAACTGGATTGGATGTGGTGGCAAGGTAATCGCCATGTTTGTCTTTGGTGATTGTATCTTGAAGATTATTCATTTTTTCGTTTGTGTGTCCTGGAGTACAACGTGCAGAAGAAGAAAGAACGACTCAACCAATTTTTTCTTTTTTTTGTTCTGTTAGTAAGTATATAAGAAGAGATAAAGATTTTTTATCTCACAGCAGGAACGAAACAAAAAAGACAAGAGGGATCGGACGTTGCTCCTGAAATGACGCATCTTTTCTTTCAAGTGGTTTTATTCTTGATTAAAAGAATGACTTGATTTCTCAAAGAACACGAATATCAAATATTCACTATTTTGATAGTTTTCTCTTCATTTTCTCGAAAACAACATCTTTATGGATGATACGATTAATCAAATCCGTTTCAATCCTCAATTTTCTATCGACTTGTTCAAGAATAACATCACAGTGGTTGCATAATCCATTGTTGATCAATTTTGTAGAGCATTGGTGCAATAACTTCAGTCGTCTTCCTCAGTCAACGTTTCCCAAGAGCGGCGAGACGGACAAGAAAAATGTTGTTGTTTTCTGTCGTTCTGTATATTAACTTTAGTCACATAAATGAGTCACCACGTATACAGAAAAATGATCTTCCACTATTCTATGTGGAAAAAACCCAGAAACTTGCATTGTTATATGACCGACTGTTGAAATTTTTCTCATTTAATCAGAATGGCTGACATTGGTGATCAACTATTAGCAGAAGATGACGAACACAACCAAGTACGCGAACAACAAGATATTGACTGGATTCAATATTTGAGAGACAAACTTGTAAAATTTCATTCCAAGGTGTCTTCGTATGGCACTAATGTTGCCACTGCAAAAGGTATTCAAAAATTATCGTCGGAATTCGAAATTCTTGTCTTCGGACCTGCACGAGTGGGTAAATCGACATTGATTAGAGAGATATCTGGCGATGAAAGAATCGTCACTAGTGCTAAGATGAACGCTTGTACGACGTCTTCAGAAAAATATTTGGATAAATTTAATATCCAATGGTGGGATACACCAGGTAAGCCTCAATTACACAGCTTATAATATCATAAGTTTCATAAAAACTATTCGTACTAATTTTGTCATTTGTTTACCAATTGTAGGTTTTGAGAATTGGTCGGTGAAAACAGCAAAAGACTTTTTCAAGGACTGTTTCTATGATCGACAAATTCTACCGAAAGTCGCCATTTTTTGTCGCACAGCCAATTCTTTGGGTTCGAGCGATGTCGTCAAGTACATGTTTGATGAAATACAAAAAAACGGCATTCTTCTTCTCTATGTTGTGACGAAATAGCCGTTTATCCCAAAATCCGAACGAAAAGATATTATTCGGGAAGCAGTCTCATTATTGGGCGGTCGATCAACAGGAGCGCTTCGATCATCATCAACCGGAAGGTTTCGGGCAATTGAATGTGCACCGAAAAAGGCCTATATCGTTCCAGTCAATTCAAAGGAAGACGAAGCTTTAGGTATGCGTGTTCCCAAGCAGAATTTGAGAACGTTAAGACAGATTCTCATTACGAAGCTGGATGACGAATCACAAGGCAAACTCGTTCAGTTATACAAAGATAATTTGGATTTTTGGGCAAAACTCGGCTATGGCGCTATCGAAATTATTGATGATCTGGGTGTAGGAAAAGCTCCAGCGATGCTTTCAGCTGAAGAAAATGCAGTTTATACACAGGTGAAAAATGGCAACAATCCAGTCAAAAATGTTGCACCAGTTTTAATGGCAATCATTGACAAGTATTTTCAAAGTAGATAAGCGCTTTGTTGAATATTTAATCTAAAAGAAATAGAAGAATCACGTTCTCACAATTAATATGAGCAAATAAATTGTATCATTGCTCTTGAGTTTAAAACATCCGATCATTAACTTAGTAAATCAGCATATCGCCAAAAACTTTAGGTTTTCCCAGATGATTTTCGTCGGCGAAAATCATATATAAGAGCACTAAACATGACTTAGTATTCTAATTAAGTATATATTCATCAACTTCGAATAGCTAGTCGATTCTCCAAATATTTCTAATAAGTATTTAATCAATTTCGAAGACAGTCGAAATTTCGCTTTGCTTTCCGATTCTCAAAACGAATATTGCATTTTCACGTCTGAGAATTTTAAATATTATCTATCTAGAACGAAAAGCACATAATAATGAATAATAATTGTACTCCGTGACATCTACCGGTGGATGGTAAATTACTCTGCTATACAAACAAATCCCTCGCTTCGAATTACTTATAATTAATAGACACGAATAAAAACTCGAGAAAATAAATAGAAACAATGGCTCCAGTAAATCTCCGAGCGTCGTACATATGTTTGTTAAAAGCTTCAAGACTGCATAAAAGGATTGATTTGTTGCGCCCGCGCTCACAAGTGTAACGTTGCCATAGTAATGTTATTTTGTGCACTTTTTTGTTTTGAATCAATGAAAGCCACTTAGGGGTATCATGCTGCAAAATCAGTGTGACTGTTCTTTTTCTACATTTTTTATTCGATTTTTTTGAAATGTGCGATACAACACAAAGAAAAACAAACCGAGAAGGACATGCAGAAATAAGTTATTTGGGAGTTAGGATCTCGATTAGAATAGAAAAGAAAAGACGAAAAACTAAAACTTTGTTTATTTAGTTATAGTATATACTTAGAATGTTTATTTTCCACCACCACATGCGAAAGCAATACGACCTCCTGCAAATGAACTCAAGAAGAGTGAAAGTATTGTGAACAGATGGCCGGCTTCATATAAACTGGCTGAATAACTATTGTAAGCGATATAACGAGCACCTTCCGCTAATCCGGCTAACATGAAAAGACTAGCTAGGAAGAGTAAGATACCGGGGATTAAATTGAGGAACCATTCGCTTAATAATCCCAATGCCATTACAAGTGTAAGGACCATGCCAAAGGCGAGAAGGATAATACCGACAAGAGTTAAAGCAGCCGCATTTCGCATTCGATAGTGGCAATCGCTATTACTGATTGCGACAGTTGATGCTGTGTAGGAAGCATCGCAAAAAGGATGAGCGTATGCGGTGCGTTGTGAACAGCTAATTTGGTTTCCAGTTGTTCCATCATAAGTACAGTATGAGAAGAAATTGGTTGCACTAGTTATATAGTTTGCATTACCACTGATGTACCACTGGATGGTACCAACACCCACACAAGTAAGTACTAGAGCAACAAAACCGAAAACAACGGCGACTATACCCATAATTTTACTGATGTTATCTGCTGCTGTTCGAGCCATGATTGATCACTGAAAATGTGTCGGTATTTTGAATAGTAAAACGATGGAGTTTGACTGAAGTATTTATTCTTACCTTTTTTCGTAGGTGTGTTTGCTTTGATAGAAAGTAAATCGGTACCCTATCTACGCAATAATGTGTACCTATACTTTATAGTGAATAACGTTGCTACAACATTCAATTACAAACAAAACTCGTCGCGTTGCTATCCTTAAGAATATATATATACTGAATGTAATCTGTTCTTTTCTCGCTCTGTCCATTCTCTTCGGGTTGGTTAGTTACAGAAATCAACAAAAGAAAGAAAGCAACACTTTGAATGACGTTTCTGTTGTAGTATACTACCAGTCGTAACTATGCGTCTCAATTGATCGCGTGTATGAATGCTTTCTGTTTAGACACAAGGAGAACCAAAAGTGAAGTACGCGCGCGAGAATGTTAACGGAAAAAATGTCATTGTTTCGATGATAGATAATTACATACGGAACAGTCAGTACTCGATTGCAATCGGCTTGATAAGAATTTTATATTTTGAACGAACAGAAAAAGAAATATAATTGCAGTGTAGAAAACAATTTATTTATAAATTTGATGTCGATGAATAGAAACAGAGTGAAACAAAGAATGGCATATTTACAAGCATGAACACACCTGTTTCATCGTGAAATTTCATATACATTTTAACTTCAAAAATCAAATTTTAATCATTCACTCTGCTCAATAAAAAAGAAATTCATACTCCATAACCTTTTTCTTTCCTTCGCTGTTGCCTTGCATGCTTTTTCAATGGCACAATCATCGCTTCTCCACACTGTCGTAATGTCTCAATGCTAACACTCTCTCTCTCCATTTGCATTTCACAAGTCGAATACAAACACTCCAAAGCAGAATTTGATTGCAACTATTAATATAAGCAAGAATGTGTTCTGATGCCAGGTGAATTTTGTTATTTTCACTTCGTAATTTCATATCATCGCCCATACAATCACACGTTGTTGTCGACGTGAGTGTAGAGAAAATGAATTGACATTATTTGGATCGAAGTTGATGGAGAAAATAACGTACATAGCAACTCAAACGCTACGCTGTTGTCAATACTTGAACATTCTGCATTTGACAAGTTGACAGTTTAATGACTGTGTACGGAATTATAACCGAGAAATTCCTTTTCTAGATGGTTTTGGTAGTGAAATGAAATCGAAATGCGAGATTATAATAATAAAACAACAAAAATACTGTTTAGAAAAATTTTCAACAACAGTGTAATAGATCTACAGTCGAATTGAAATAACGAACGATCAACGATCGGAGTATTAGAAATATAAAAAGCGTTGCTCAAATGAAGTTCTTCGCTTTAAAATTTGATTGAAGGCTTTTTGTCGTCTAAGTTTATGAAAATGATATGAAATATATCCTGTTACCATAAATTGACCAATGCATACTTTGTTCAAGAAAGTTGTCGCGTTTGATCTGTTGAAAACATAAGATCATTTGTATGATTATGTACATCGTTCCATCAGATCTTCTTTGAAACTGTCGGACACATAATGGATTCAATTTTATGCCTATGACATATACTAATGCTATGCCGTTGTTATCAGAATTAGGTCTACATACCCCTAGCGCACCAAATATATCAAATTCAGAATAATCAGAAAGATAAAGTACGCAAAAATTGTATAAGAGATGGTGATAAGAACGTTGCCTTTGCGGTATCAAACATAGAAAATGGGGCTCTGATGCAGAACAAAGGGAGACTAAGACTTCGTGGAGAACTATCTGTACTTTAGTAATCTAAACTTAATCAGCAATGCACGAACCAGAATGGATATACCAGTTACCATCAGCGATTCTGGAAAGACGAAATCTTCTGATCAGCTTTCTTCGTCAGAATCAGTTCCCGCCAATGACACCGGAGAAATACACATTGTTCAATCTTCAATATAACATTCAGAAACGACCATATCCACCGATTGAATCCGACAAATCTGAGCTTGAGCCTAATTCTAGCGACAGTATATCGCATCCTTCGTCAAATGATCCACCATATTTTCCAATAACTTCAAATCAGACGCACGCTTTACTGTACACTAATCTTATCTCCATATCATTCCCGGTACTCATTATTGCCGTCGGAGTGACTATATTTCATATTTTGTTTGTCTATTGCATGTCATATGATCAAAGCACAAAGTACAGATTTTGCCAAATACTATGGCATTATTGGTCTTAACAATTCCTTTATAACTTTAAGCGCTGACTCGTGTAATGCTGGCATCATATTCACGATGAGGATATGAACAAATTAGAGCAACTTGCTAATTCTTCCCTATAAAATGCTTCGAATTCAATTTACACTACCAGTGAAACGAATCGACAATTCACTGAGAAACTATCTGAACGGGAAGAGCTATTTCATATACATTTCAAAAGTGATCTAAATCATCCATTGGTCATTAAAAAGAACTTTACAAAACTTCGTTTATTATTGGCAATAGTTGAAGGCGAATATTCTACAGTCAAGGCAAGAGAAACAGAAAAGCACGATAATATATTAAAGGACCTACGACAATTTGCGTTGTTCTGTGAAAGAGAACGTGCAAAGAACTGTCGTGTTCATTATTGGCGCAATCAATTTTTCTTCTGAGTAAACGCAAGTGTTTATAAGAATCATTTTACCATTCTTTGCTATCGGAATGAATTACCACAATAATTGCGGCTTATAACTTACATTTATCCTTATCTTATTCTTAATTAGCTGATAGTATCCGTCGAAAATTACGTTCTTGAACACCAAAATAATTGAATTACTTCACATACAAATAGACTACAAGTTTGGCCAGCACATCCAAAAATCTATATTCATTTTTTTACTTACTCTTATCACTAGCTGGTATCACAGATGAAAAATACAAGAGAACAAAGAAATGAAGAGTGCATTGTCTTTTTTGGCAAAGTATCGTGTTGATCGATTCTAAAACAGAAGTGAAATATTATCATAGAACGTGACAGACACAATATTCAAGAAAATCACATTTATTCAACTAAATAACTGTTCATATATATATAAAAGAAGAAATGAGAATGCTGGTTTTTGAATTGTTGACACAATCTCATTGTAGAAGACTTAATCTTGGAAATAATTAGTTGCGACAGATTGATACAAAAAAAGTTCGAATGCATCGCTGTGTCAATATCGAGTCACCAATTGAACATGCTGAATTGTAGATTTGATACGAGAGTGAAAACAAAAACACGAGTTCACTATACAATTCCATAAGTTTTCAACCAAAGTACTTCATTAATTGCGTACATTTTATTTTGTCAGAAGGCTATCGAATATCCAATTTGACGTTTGGGAAGGATTGATGAGGTTTCATGAGTCGTTCTTTACCTGTCGCAGAGAAATTGCAATAGGATGCGAACAGATAAGCCAATGATTGACTACACTTGATCATTTGAATAAAGGAATCGATACTTCCATCAGTTAGGAGCATGTTCTCGCTAACAGACAAAAAACGAAGAGTCTTATTACAATTTGAAATCACATCAGCTAACATTCGAATCCCAACATCCGTTATCTGATTTTTGCAAAGCCACAGATTAATTAATGATTTGTTTCCACTGATGATTTGTACGAGATGCTTTACACCTACATCTGTGATACTAGTACCTCCAAGTTCAAGTGTCTTGATTATGGTATTATTTGTCAGAGTATTGACAAGAAAAGAAAGACCTTCGTCACCTATTGGATTCCCATGAAGAATAAGTGTTTTCAACGGATAGGCGTTATCTAATCTTTGAGCTAAAATGTAGATACCAGATGCTGTAATATTATTTGATGCCAGATTGAGCCCGGAACAATGTTTTTTCATAATCGCTTCCTTGACAACGAATTCCATGTCTTTATCAGTGACATTTTGATTATTAAGATTTATAGTAGTATGGCTTTCGTATTTCTGTATCGTTCGCTGTACATCTGGATTTACACGTTGATTAGCTGCAATCACCGGTTTCGGTCTAGGTCTTGGAATTGATTGTGTTGATATAGTTCTGGTCTCTATTTGGATGGAAAACCAACAATTAAGTTAGATAATACTAAACCCATCGTTTTCCTGTACCTGCAGGTAGTTTGTTTGAAACAAGAGTAGAATTTGATTCTATTTCTTCCAATTGAATTAAATGAAGTCCATGGCCTTGATCAAGACAGCCAAGTACTCGGAATCGCGTGGCAGGAAGAAGAAGTATCTCATTCTCTGATGCAAAGTACGAATATTTGGAGATGTCTTTTCCTGAATGGCATTCAATGGTGAATAATGTTCGTTCACTTGTCATACCCAAAAATGCATCCGACTGAAGTACATTAATATTATTCGTACATGAAGAAAATCCCCACCAGGTAATTGTTTCGTCGGTCTTGTAGAACCTGCTGAAATCTAACTTCACTCCTCGATATACAAATTTATGTAAATCTGGAAGACGTGACAATGCTGTAAGAAAGAGTTTTAAATATAAATGCCATGGTTTCAGTTTATTTCTGGTCTCTGATCGTAGTGTTTTGTTTAAAGAAACGTAAAGACACTCGTCGATCGGCTCCCAATCCATCGTATAAAGCATGATTGATGCTGCCTCATCTACTGTTAGTTTATCAGTGATCTGATCTTGACATCGCTCCTTGACAATAAACGCATAGTTTTTGATCGCAGGTAGAAACGAAACTAGTGGTTCGATGGCTATTTCCAGAGGAACAATAGGCATATGTTCATATCCATCTATTGGTAGAAGTGTTCTAATTGGTTCCTGATTAATATCAAAGAAACGAAGGATTCGTCGCTGATTGCGCACAAGTTCGTTTGTTGCCATTTTTCTCACTGAAAAATGGATCGAGAGTTCGCTTTCGCAGTATTTTTTCACGTCTGACATGTCAGGCAGCTGTTTCGACAAGATAAGCACGTGGCGACAGAAAAGAAAAAAATTTTCGCCTGATTATATACGCCTTCGTTGGTATACCAACTTTGTAGAAAAGAAAAAGAACATATTTATTCTGAATTTTAACGGAACTACTTTTTTACAACGCTTCGAAGTCCTTCGAATGGAAAAATCATATTCACTGGCACGCGCTCGTTTTGAGCCGATCGCTTGAAACTGATGACATATTCTGGATAAGCTTGTCTTCGTTGGAGGACGTCGTACACCATGTATTTTGTTCGTACCATCACGATACTTTTTCCGATCATACCGCAATGCTACATGGCCATCGCCCAATACAGTGCGATACAGAAGCATAGAAAAGACAAGCTCATTTTGATTTGACTTGGAGGAATTTTCAGCAAGGTAGAAACCACCATCAAATATACCATTTAAGTTCGACAATTGAGGATTGTACCCATGATGTAATATATGATGCACGGCTTCAGCACCACATTCATGGAATAACCAATATTCGTTCGATTGATTGTGTAGTAAAGGTGTTAATAAAGGGTGGTTTACCAAATGGATTGAACAATCAACATTGTGCAATCTATGGTGATTTTTCTCGATAATGTTAACCTAGAAATAAGTTCGATTATTATTTGGTAGAGATCAAATCCTGTCGAGCCTTTTTCCAACAGTATTCATACCATAGTCTTTTATTTTCTATTCGTTTGATCTTTGCCAAATACAGTTCCATAATGATGATCGTGCTTACGGATTGTGGAATTTAATAGACTATTGCTTCGCTGAAATTCAGACGATTCACTTAATAAGTGAACTTCACGATAAGATTCTTTGGGCGCGTCTGGTTCCCAATAAGATGGCACATGTTTTGAAATAATTAATATATGTTCCTGGTCGATTTCACGCCGTGCCTGTAAGTTCGAATCATGCGAAAGAACTTTTGTAATGTCTCGTTGCGTTTTACCATTTCCAATTGACTTTGATGTAATTGGCCGATTTCCAGATTTTTCAATTCCAAATCACGGTCCAATGAGCGAATACAGTTTTCAACTTGATCGATGAATTGAAGTTCGTCTCCTTCACGTTCAGAATTATTAACAAGTTGTGTCCTATGCGAATCCGTCTCACACTTGTCTTTTTCAAGACCAACTGGATGAGAGTAATGTTCAAAATGCGCACGATTTATTCGATAACAACCAAGGCCATATTCACATGCTGGAAGTGCAATTCTCGATAATTTCTCAGTTTCAGTTTCATTAGAAATGGTAGCATTCGAACGATTCTCTTGCAATATAAAGCGCATGTTTGCATCTACAGCGGGTCGCCTGGTACTGAAGTGTGATTTAACCATCTAAAATGAAAGTGTCTAATTCTTCTTCTTTTTCGATAGTGAATGTATTCAAGCATACATACTTGTTTCGTTCGTTTTATGTTTTCTTGAACATACACTGCAAATATATAGTAGTATTGTCATGAAGTGCATAGGAAATCCCAACTCACAAGGTGCGCTTCTTATCTATGCAAAAACGAAAGTGTTAGATCGAAAGAAGCGAGAATTAATTTTCATCGTTGAAAATATCATAATTCGTAAAAGACAACTGAATCCACCCACCGCTAATCCAATATTTATTGAAATAGTTTGGATTAAGGCCTGTGAATAAACTCCTAGTTGTTAGTTTCATGTATAAATTCCTGCTTTGGTCATAGAGAATTACTGCAGTATAATCCATATCGATAAATTCGAATTGAGCAAACCGATATTCACTGTGATATTCAATCCAACTTTTTTATGACTTTTCCTGTACCATCCGAGTTCCGTCATTCTGCAGTTAATCCGGATTGTTTCAAATAACTTGAAGTGCTGGAAGAACTTTCGGGAAACTAGATCCATCTGCCACTAACCTCCCACGAGTTGCATTCGTCTATATTAAAGCCCGTATAAAGAGCAGTGTGAGTTAGCCTGACGTATAACTTTCGAGTGCTATCGTAGAGAATCACCTCGCGATCGTTTATACCTACTAAATTCAACGTGGCAAACCATTGATTATTATGATATTCAATCCAAACGCCCCAATCCCAATTTTTGATAATTTCTACAGCATTTCCATTATTCATCCATTTTCCAGTTCGACTTCCACAAGTACAAGTTGGACTTTCTGGTTGTATTTATCTCTTCATCCGCAAGTCTAATCTTCCCTGTGTCTTATTATATATATTATTAAAAGTCTGATTTAATTGATCCCAAACGTTTCAGACAAATTCATGGTCAACACATTTATCAGCATACCGAGTCATTCTCATCATCCTGTCTTGTCGAACTTCGCCTGCACCCTGTACTAGAACGGCAAGCTCATTTCCATGTTGTGATACAATTTCAGCTTCGTTAGTTCTTACAAAATAACCGACGTATCTCAACATTGCAGCGTAGCCGGATATATTTTGTCCATAACTATTTGTAACACCAATGTCGGTCCAACTGATCCTACCAGTTCTCACTATTTCCTGCCTATCCGTACTCTATATAAATCTCTCTAAGTATTTCGTTTTCAGAATAGCGTCGATTAGTTGAAGCATATTTTTCCAGAAATTATGTTCCAGACTGTTGAGTCTTACACCTCTTTTATTTCTGTCGAGATAAATATTTGCCACTGGAATTGTCGTAGTGTGCTCATTCTCGGATTGAATGTCTTCTTGAAGAGCGGACGAAAAATATTCACACAGTATAAATGCCAATGGTAATAATTTCATCATAGTTCTAGTTAATTTGAAGATCTAAGACGATTTGTATAGAACTTATATATGTAGTACTCAAGTTTCAACAGAGGATACAATCACGTCACTGGTTATGCACTACTAATCTAAGCTCGATGTGTAAGAGAACAAATTATCCCATGGGAGAAAAATCAAGTGTATTTCTTCCCATCCAATAGAACCTATATATGTTGTTCTACACGGTTCTATACCGTACAGTACACAATCTTTTACTATATGAGAAAAAGAATAATTATATATAGTTCGTTTTGTTTTTTACAAGACAGCTTGAATCTTAATCTACGCATTATTATCTATACTTTTATATTAGTTCTTATTGATAGATGCTTTTTGTTTCTATTAAATTCGGATGCATGGAGCACTGGCTTCTTTCCGTTAAAATTCTTGTTTATTCGAGCAATAAGCACTTACGCATCTCATTGCTATGGGATAGTAGGGAAAAGGTTTCTGTAATCTTGCACTTTTCGATTCGTTGACCTACACTGAAGTCTGTAAAGAAAATTCACTGAGCTTCGATGATTTCTATTTAAATACACAAACAACACGGAAGTATAGAATTTAGTAATATAGTACAAATGAAAGAAAAAGAAGTGCAAAATCTTAGATTTTACACGAGATGGTATTAGTTTCGACGGGTCTTTCACAAGACGTGAATTTTTTTTTCAATCGTTGTATAAAGAAAGTCTTCTTCTTCCAAATAAATAATATTAACGAGAGAAGAATTACAAATGCAAACGTAGCAAATAATCCACCCATGGATTCCAATTCAATTTCAGTTGGCACTCCACTTGTATCCGGACAAATCTTTGTTTGAAACCATTTTATCTGAAGGTTATTTAACAAACCTGTTTCACCCAACGATAAAATCGTCACATCTAATTCTTCAGTATAAATCCAATTCTTCGAAACAGCTATTCCAAATATTCCCGCATCAAAAGAATCTCCAATCAACGTTAAATTACAATAAACATTATTTGTTTCATATTCTCCAAGGCCAATATCGGTAAACGTCACATCGATAATATCGTTCAATAAAGCATCGTATCCTTGCTGTAGTGAATATAATGGATAATAATTCGGATTTCCATTGGAGATTTCTTTTAAATAATAATCAACAGCAGCAGTGCCAACACGAATACCGATACGATTCGGCGGAATTTTTCCATTTTTAAGATCATCGATTCCAGAGAGGATATTTTGAGTTTTTAAGATTGTTAAATCAGATGCCAGGTTAGCTGTATAAGACGCTAACAAGACTAAACTCAACATATACAGAGCAGCGGTTAATAAACGTCCGGAGGACGTACGTACATGAAAATCAACTCCATGTCCGATGCAATGGCCAAGACAATACCATAAACTCATCGCTATTTGAGAAAAAAAAGTTCGATTCGCTAAGATGTCATTTTCGTCACGTTCGAAGAAACAAAATAAGACCGAGGCAAAGACCCAGGAAAATAAAAATGTGATCCATAGTTTCAATGAAAATGGTTTTAGAAACGATAAGGGATCAGGTGCACTTGTATAAGTTTTTCTAACCATAAGTTGCAAAGCATTATCGAATATAGAATTCGAAAAATCAACGAGTTCTCGTCGTGCAGCAGTCACTGTTACATCGCCAACAACCATGTCATAAACTCCATCGGCGACAGCTTGAATCAATCCTGCATACGTTTGATTATCAGATGCTAATTGAATATTCGGAATAAAGTTTAGTTGACTGCGTAAAAGCTCGATTAAATCAATCGCGTATCCAGTTAAGTTCGTTGTTGATCCACCATTTACTATCGTATACACAGGTGCTGCAATAACTCCAATTCGTACAGTGACACTGTCAAGTAGAACGCGACCGGTTGGTGATATTAATGAATTACCTGGCCAGACAATAACATTCGATCCTGGATAGGTACTCCAATCTCCAGGATCAGAATATTCTAATACAGGAGCGAAGCCAATGCCAGTCGATGTGGATTGAATATTTTGGACATAGTAATACGAACCATCCATTCGATCGGTTGAGTTTGAAGTAAATTTAATTGGACCAGAAATGCCAAGAAACTTAATTGAGTTTATTATATTCAACAATTGATTGGAATGAACAAAATATCGATCAAAACAATATGAAGAACCGTTTGTTGTTAAACATGAGTGATTCATTTGTGAGCAAAGTTGTTCTAAGGATTGAATTAACACCCATGTTGCATCAAATGCAAACAGTGCATATGGATTGACTTTTACTGAGGAAGGAAACGTTTCTGGTTCATACTCTTTCCATACGTCATAAGCAGCATTCAATAATGTTTGATTTATTGTTGCACCGACAACACTGCCTGTGACAGGTTCGACCGTGAGCATTCCAATTAAATTCGGATAGTAGATTGAGTTAAAAGAAGTCAGGGAAATACTTGTGCTCGATATCCAGGTAAATTTAGGACCGAGAACACCGTTGTCCAGAGCATTTTGGATAATTAACGATGCATAACTGACACTTACCCATAATATAACAATTCGTGTTGGACTATTAACTAAAGAACTTTTGAGATCTTCTCGAAATGTCAGTGTTGCGATGTCAAAGACAATAAATTTAAATATTGCTAGACCTTGATTGATAAATGCATTATTGATTGCATTGACTCCATTGGTTCCGAATAGATCATTTTGATAAACAACGACGCAGGATGTCCAATTGAATTTCAGAAATAATTTCACGAGTGCAACGGCAGCTTCGTTATCGGATGGCACAGTGCGATAAAAAGTTGGATAACTATTTCGGTCGGATAGTTGTGGATCAGTAGCAGAGTACGATATAACCGGCAGACCAATTCTTTCGCCGAAGTTTGCAATTTGTTGTGCTTCGTTTGATAATGTTGGGCCAACAATCCCGAGGAGTATTGATGAAGATGCACATTGACATGTATCACTCAGAGCATTCATTATATTTCCATCAGTTTGTGCTGATTGCCATTCGAGATATTGACTTTGCATTGAGATATTGTATTTTTGTGAAAGTATGATAGCAGATTGAAACATTGCTCGAGTATGAATTGACAACTCAGTTGGTTCAGTGGTGTTGTCTGCATCCAGGAAGAGTCCTAAAATTTTTATATTTGAAAGATTCGCTATCGGCCACTCGGTTTTGATATATTTGAAATTAATTTGTGAGAATATAAAGTATGAAATGAATGGTAAAAGCATTGTGTGGGAGAATTTGAATGAAATCAAAGTGATTGCAAAGTAAATATGTGTGTTCACAAGAAGCAACTTTCTCTTATTTGGTTTCAATTAGAAAACTTATAAGATGTCTGTTTATCACAACCGGAAATAAGAAAAACGGAAATGTACTTCTTTTTTCTCCTTCTATAAGAAGATTGATTTACTATCGACATGAATTACATCAAATAACAGTGGTAATAAAAAGAAAAATGCAATTTAAAAAAAGGCTGGTTCAAGTAAAAGAATAGCGTATCCACATGCTTCAAACTTGTTACTTGTCATATCCCGACATAGGAGGAGTTTTGATATGCACTTTCATTTGTAAAAGTTTCATAGTCGTCGAGAGTATCTAATCTCAAGTAAGACTTCCTTACTTATCATACCGATCCTATTCTCCATCGTACGGTGCATAATGTTTGCAGTTCGGATGATGTCTGTGATTGCCATCTTTTCGTATTCGTTCATAATCAGCTAAACAAGACCAACAAAACTCATACGAACATTTCATACATTTCATATGGTCACAACCATCGTTCTTCTCGATTCGATATGGACAGTTGGGACATTTTTTCGAGTTCTGGATCATCCACAGTTGACTGGCTTCATCATCAGCATCTTTCGTCTCGTCATATTCTGCACATGTTAGTCCTTCATGCCATGGAACTCTGTGAGTAAAACATGTTCTCTTATGACAGTTAAAACAAGTGATAATATTATTTTCGGATCCACTATCGCTGAGTTGTCCCATCCCACAATCAGGATTTGAACACCAAATGAACTCATCCATTTGCTCTAATTGTCGATGAAGAATAAATCGATCGTATCGATCAAAAACCTTCTTATCATCACCACAACTGAGAATATATTTCACTACGTTATAGTCGAGTTGACCGTCACAGTCGGGTTCAGGACAACGAACATCATCTCGACATGTCTCTTCAAACGCTTTTTCAACGTACCGTATGACACATTTATTGCATGTAGTCTGATATATATGTTGACAAGTAGTAGTTAATGGGAGACCATAATCACACGCAGGTTTGTCTTCACAACATATTTGACATTCTTGGTGGCTTCCTTGTATACCCATAGTGTTGTTTATACAGAAATTGTCTGACACACTGACGAAAATATTACTCGTATAAATAGTATTGGCCTCAATACCTCACAAGTCTACTGGATTACACTATTTCCCACTCATTGTATTGATATTTTCCACCAAGAATCACAAGTATGATTAAGACATGTCGGTGGGAAAGAAAGCAAAAGCATTTGTCATGTCGTATGTAACAGAACGAAAGAACACGTGTGCAATTGTTTTTTCGCGATCAGACGCGAATGTGTTTCGTATCAAATTTTTCTCTTCTTTTGAAAAAGCAAGAGTTAAGTAATATTTCATTGACACGCGGCTTTTCTAAGCATTAGCCTTGTCTCATTGAAATTGTAATTAATAAAAGAAATTGTGCGATCGTGTTAAATATTCAAATTGGGCGGGAGATGATTTATGATAAAGTGCTAGTCAAGTCGACACGTTTCACAAAGAAGCATACATAAATTATGATAGATTGATGTCATTTACAAAGGTTTCTTTCATTACTAGATGAGTCATTTCTGGTCAAATCATGTTAGTTTCGGATAAGATTTCGATTTCTTTTCAGAATATACAATGTTGTGCGATTATCTAACATAAGATGTTCGTAATAGAAATCATTTTCATAAATTCTTTTGATAAATGGATAACTATTCATCAATTGTGAGCATTTTACTGCTTTTCTTTGGTATTTCTGCGTTTCGTGTTTGTGTGAATAACTTTGTGAAAAACACGTTTCGTTAATTGAATAATTTGAATAATAGACTTTTGATACGGATTTGAAAAACATTTCAATATTATTCGGCCCGGGCAACCAAAGGGTACTGATCGGATGCAATAGTAATGGGAATACGAAGTGTTTTTCAATGTACACATACGATTTAATGTGTGTAGAGTTTTCCGAATAAAAATCAATTCCAAGAAATGGCCATTTCCAGGGATATTTACCAGCTGGTTGAGATGATTTGAAATAAAATTTCATATTTGTTGGTGTGTTGATATAAAATTGCCAATTGCTGTCGTTGTTTAGTTGGTTTATCTTCGATATGTGAGAATAATATTTGATATTGATTGAAATATCAACATCGTCGTCATATGGTAAAATGTCTATGAAGAAAAAATCATCAAAATATATGTCGTAATTGGCCTATACTTTAAAGGCACCGTTCTCCTTGAGAATGACAGATACGAACGATACGTTTTAATAGATCTTACCGTGATTTCTGTACGAGCCTATCAAAGTTCCAAATGTAATAAAGTATTCAAATGAATATTTCTTTGAAACCAAATCAAAAATGTTCAGTAACTGAATGTATAAATAATGTTCGTCCGGCGTTATCAAACGTGGAAGCATTGGTGAGGTTTTCCATAACGAATAAAAGTAAGGTAGTTTGGGATAAGATGTTTGATTGATGGATGGTTCTTCGTAAATTTGTTTTAAGGAATAATTTTGAAGTTGTTCATATTCATATCGATACTGCTGTTTAAAGGTTAATTTTGAAGAATCCATTGTTAAATTTTGACTCATTTCTTCAAATGAAATCATCAATGGTGTCAGATCAGATGTTGATGATCGAAATAAATAATTAACAAGAAATAGAAAGATTAATACTTGACCACAAAGGAAAAGAAGCATATTGTTACATGCACGTTTACGCATGATTTTCATATTCCAACAGTTCCAATTGAAATAAAAAAAGACGCTGACCGTTGTCTTCTCTAGAAACAGATACCTTTCAACACATTAATGCGTAGCAGTACACGAAAAAAGATATAATTGATGATAATCTGACGCTTATCATTTGAAGTTGCAATAGACCAACGAATTCATGTTGTGATAGAAAAAAAGAAGTTTGATGTACTATTGACAAGGAGAGAATCTTTGATTCTGAACAACTTCACATGGTGTCACTTTCGTACATGGACTCCATATGTGAAATTTGAACAAAGGGGAGAGAAAAGTGATAGTTCGAGTGTAAATGACTTTTTTTACAATTCCTCGGATTGTGAGATGAGTGATAAGAAGTATGTACTGATCATATAGCAAAGCATAAGATATTATCCTTCGTTTCTTTTTCACACTCTCGCAATCATTAATGAACAAAGACTTCACCGAATTATTATTATCAATGTGCCTCTCGTTGGTTGATTGTTCATCAAACGTTATCGCGCTGTCGCGATATGTATATTAGAGAATATCATCTAAAAATTCTTCTTGTTGTTGTGATTCATTATTTCAGAATGAAAAAAGTCATTTTTCATGCAAATATGTTCATTTTACCGAAAACAACATTGTGTTATTATATTATATTCAGTTCAAGATCTTCGTATTTTCGACAGTCTATAATTGATAATAGATGTGAGAAATAGGTATTATGTTTCATCGTATGGTGCATAATGTTTGCAGTTCGGATGATGTCTATGATTGCCATCTTTTCGTATTCGTTCATAATCAGCTAAACAAGACCAACAAAACTCATACGAACATTTCACACACTTCATATGGTCACAACCATCGTTCTTCTCGATTCGATATGGACAGTTGGGACATTTTTTCGAGTTCTGAATTATCCACAGTTGACTGGCTTCATCATCAGCATTCCTCGTTTGATCGTATTCTGCACATGTTAGTCCTTCATGCCATGGAACTCTGTGAGTAAAACATGTTCTCTTATGACAGTTAAAGCAGGTAACAATATTGTTCGCTTGTCCACCATCGTTGAGTTGTCCCATCCCACAATCAGGATTTGAACACCAGACGAACTCATCCATTTGTTCTATGTGTCGATTAGTAATGAATCGATCATATCGATCAAAAAGTCTCTTATTAGCACCGCGATTGAGAATATTTTTCACTGCATCGTAGTCAAATAAAGCGCCACAGTCAGGTTCAGGGCAACGAACATCATCTCGACATATCTCTTCAAACGCTTTTTCAACATGATTGAGAACACATGTATTACAAATTGTTTGATGAATATGTCGACAAGCAGCAGTTAATGGAGGACCAAATGCATATGAGAACTTTTCATCGAAGCACACTTGGCATGTCCGAGGCACAAAGTCATACACCGGTCTAGATAAAAAATACACAAACAATTTCTGTGGCAATAGAAATCAGCCAATTCAAAAATTGCCGGCTCATACTACTTGATGAGCTTCCCCTACTCGAGCATGTGCCTTGGAGGTGGTGATGGCAACAAACCAGTCGTTTCAGGATCTCTTCTACGTTTTGCTATACAACATATGAGTGCTACAAAGATGATTGCAAGTGTAAGTAAAGAAATAATTGTTAATCCAGCTATATAGTCCGGTGCTATAGGAAAAAGAATCGATTATTATTCGAATACCATTAAGATACTTTACAAAGTGCTGACAGAGAGGCCATTGACGATATTAGTCGGATAACTATTGGCGTGCTTTTATAGAATCAAGTTTTAGTTTTGTCACTTTATTTCATTCTTCGCACGTCTGTTTTTATTTATTTAGAAGATAACAAAAAATATACCCAATTGGAAAAGCAGAGCTGTCTTGTTTTAAGTAGTAACGAAGCAAAAGTCATGCATTTAAAGATATAGCGAAAGCGAATAAAATGCGCAAAGTTTGCACTGCGTATTGTACTTTATGATTAATACGTCGTGAAGCATTGTGTTTGATTATGATTTATCAATGATTCAAAGACTAATCTGTCCAATTGCCAGTTATCATCCAAGTCTTGAGGGTGAGGGTGTTGTCGAGTATAGCGCAAAGTGAGGGTGTAGCGAAGGGTGTTCCAGCGTACACGTAACAGTGAGATGGTAGCGGAGAGCATTCCCGGCGACGCAGCCAAGTGACAGGGCGACAAAGTACTATAGACTACAGAGCAAGCCGAGCGCTTAGGGCACTGCGCTCCAGGAAATACAAAAAAGTGCGGCGTACGAAAGGGTATTCTAAGTTACAAAACTAAGCGACGATGACACAGAGCGTAGTGTAGGCTACAGCAAGCAGAAACAACACGAAATCTCTCGCGCATCCGCCGCCAAGGAAATGGTCGGAAAACGAACCTAACCGGGCGGAACCGACCGTGCCATAATAACCTGGGTTGGAGTTCTAGATTTATAAGTTTACAAGTTGAATAGTTGAAAACTCGAAGCTGCGAATTCTAAAGTAGAAGATTTAGAATTCGAAGGATATTTTAATACTCGAATCGAGTTAACGACTTCTACACTACTCGTTATTGGTTGATCATTATCTTTTGTTTTGAAAGTCAAATAAAGATTGTAGTGCACGTATGTAAATGAGACTTATAATTTCGGTATGCCTGTGCTAAATAAAAAGAAAAGAGGAAGAAAAAAACGAATGTATTTGATCGCAATTGAAACACAGAGGAAAAAAGAAAAGAGAAAGCGACAGGAAAAGATCAAACGGAGATGAGGCGTTAAGTATGTGTGAACATAAAGTTGTCGACACACGCAAATAAACTCATACAGGTTAACAATGACTAAATAGGAACGATTCGCCATCGTTGAGCTGGTGTATGATTGCGTGTCCAAATTTGTACATTTGTTCCGTCAGCCGATTGGTTTCCACTAACATCGAGTGCTTTGCCAGATTCGACATTGATCAACTCATATAAACCATTTCCAACCGATTTCAGAAACCATCGCTGTGCCACGGAGCGATTGTTTGTATAGATTTGCACATTAGTACCATCTGAATGGCCATTTCCACTCACATCTAATGCCTTATCACTATGCGCATTAAATAGCTGAATTGAATCATCATCGTATCCATAGATAATCCAAAGTTGATTGGCACCTTGGTGATTTTTAAAAATCTCAACATTGGCCCCGTCGTGTGTACCGCTGCTGTGGATCTCAAGAGCCTTGTTCGATGCCGCATGAATGAATTGATAAGTATTGCCAAAAATAATATCGGCATCATCTGCACGAAAAAAATTCATCTAGAGACTGAAATTTATCCTCAATATGTCAAGTTGTTTGACCTAAGCACCTGCGAACTATGTAGAAAAGTATTTCTACTGATATAACTGTTTTTATTATACTAGTAATCCTTTAAACACTCTCAATAAACAGTGCCTCAGAGTGTTCATGACGACAGTGAGGAACCTTTCCTGTTACTGAAAGGAATTTTATCGCATAGCTTAGAGAAAACAAAATCGTCAAATAAATATGATATTTATACTCACTTTCCTCTGTTTCACCAGGAGCTGGGAATGTATCTAGATGTTCGCCAAACCAAACATTTGCAATTCCTTTATAAACACCAACTCCCATGGCTTTCATTGGCGACCAACCACCTCTTTGTATCATCACATTATTATGCCCAGGACTATTTTTCCAACCTTCAACAGCTCTATATGGATCTATTCTCATTGTTTTTCTAACGCCATGTCCATAACCATGTGAATTTTCGTAACCAGTGTATTTATAATTACTAATTTCTGATGGCTTACTCCACATTAGGTGTGCTTGTGCATGATCACGTGTATATCGAACCGGTTTCCAGTTACCTTTATCACTCCAACTATGCATATTACCACCATCGACATCAGGTTCATTTTCAACAAGGTCGATTGCATGCGTACGAGCAACAAAAGCAAGATTAGCAGACGGTTGAAGTGGAGGTAAGCCATGGTTTTCACGATGATTATTGATAAGAGTAAAGATCGTCTGTTCCACTTCATTCATACCATGAAAAGATGATCTTCGAGTTCGGAGAACTACTAATGAAAAGAAGTGATGTATACGATTCGTATTATTCACTTATTTTATTCGATCAGGGTGATAGATAATAATATATACCTGTTTCATTGTCGATCTTCATCTCATCATGGTATTTAATATACTTTCCCATCGTTGTTGATAGACAAGAAAAAAGAGAAAGAATTAGTAAAGTTACCAACGAGTGCATATTGTAATGTGTTCACTGTTGATCTTGATGGGTCAGTCGATCTTTCACAGAAAGTGTTTGTGAGACACGTCGAGAAAGGCGTTTTGAGGTTATATACAGTGATAAGTCCGAGTACATTTCCCATAAAACGGGATGCGTCCCAAAACGTTTTTGTTCTATGTGTCATGGCACAGCATGGGAACTTCTCATTTCATGTTACGTTTACGCGGTTTCAATTATTTATAAGTAGTCGAAAATTTACTTTATTGAGATTAAAAATTTAACATATGTATCTGGTTAAAAAATGTATGTTCGTCAATAGAAGTTTGATTTTTCTATTTATTTGATTCATCAGCCGAAATACAACGTCGACAGCATTTAGGAAGATCATGACTGCCTCATATATCTTATCCTCCACCGCAGGCAGTACCGCAAATAAGACCACCATAACAAACATTGTTATCATTACAACGAGCTCCAGAGCAATGATTTTGTCATGGGCATGAATCACTTTGTACCACAACGAGTAAGGCAAAGGCCAACACTACACACACGGAACTGATAGAAACCATTTGAAATCGAATATTTATACTCAAATTCACCCTGCTGAAAAATTGCACACGTAAATTTTTTACCAATGCATAGTCATAACTTCCCACCTTTTGGTTTCTTCAAGAAAAATAGTCGAATTAAAATATTGCATCCGCACTTTCCCATGTATATAGCTACCCATCAGAAATGTCCACAGAGCAAATGTGTATCTAAATGTTTTTCGAAGTGAAAATCGGAACGAATATGATCGATTCAATAATATACGTGTAAGATTTGTAAGATAGAAATGATTTTTATCTTCGCGTCAAAATTCTAACTTTATTTATTGAAATGATTAACGAAAATAGATTGTTTGTTAAAAAATATTGAAGATTTAATTGACAAAATACTAACAAAGGACAATATTCAGCAAGTGTTTTCATTGGATACAACAATTACCATACTATAGAAAATAACCAGATAGTTTTTATGGTTGATCAGAACATCTAAACCCTGTTTTTATAAGTTTTATTAGATAAATATATAGTAGAATGCCTCGTCTACAATAATATATTGAACAAATCTATCTTAAGTTTAAATATAACCTATAACCTCATGTGACTTTTGATTAAATGATTATACTATAAGCAGTTTGACCCATCACCTGAAAGAATCGCTTGCTCAAGAAGTTTTCAATGTATTGGAGAATATTTTCAAGAACGAATTTATAAAAACTTTCGACAAACTACTAGAAAAAATACACTTTGTATTAATAATAGCAGTGACTATTTGAGATGTGTAATAAAAAAACTGAAAATATTTTTTTGCGTTCTATAACTTTATTTAAATTTCCTGGAGTTTTGTCTTGGTTCCACCTGTTGCAGACTTCATCTGAGTTTTTCTCACACAGTATCGCATTGGGAAAAAACGCACTCTAACAAAAAGGAGTTTCACCGAACCTAAAAGGTTTCCTATACTTCGACTGAACGATTTTAAGTTCAGAAAAACGAAAAATGTTCCGTAGTGTCGAGAAGGCTTGGCAATTGGTAGCAAAACCCATCCACAGGTTTTTCGTGGAGTACGCAAAAATATCTGTTGTCATGTGACTATCATTATCTGATTTATTACAATCGATCAACAAATCTTTTAAAGTTGCGAAGACAGTATTGGGTTCGAAACAATAATAAGATACTGACTGGATCGAACGAACAATGTTTGAAACAATTGATCATGCTGTTAAATCTATTTAGGCATGTGATGACAATTATTCAATGTGGCGATTCGCCATCTCTTTATCTAATATCAATGTGCTGCATTACCTTCGGAGAAACATTGAACTCTTACGAATCTTTGAAAAGATATAACAAAAAAATGCGCATGAAAACGGTGGAAATACATTTTTGGAGAACTGATGTAACGATGACGATGTCGAACATGATTTGCCAGGTAATAATACACAAATAAACTTTATTGTTCGAAAGTTATGAATCGTTTCTTTAAGGCATAACGTGGTCTCGCGAACGTTTTTCATTATTGCTAAAAGAAATGTTTGCATTGGATATTCGCCACGTAGTGGTAACGCTTCTTCATCCGCGTTATCGGTCTTTGACGAAGATTCCGGATCACATAAAGAACCAATGCTGCATGTATTTACGAGGACAGGTCAAACAACTGCGTGATAAAGCTGATTCAGAAGAAAAATCAAACGCTATGAGCCATTGCAGTTTTGACAAAAATTCAGAGGTCAATCACCATTCCTCTCTCAATACGCTCGATCAATCATGTCCATTCCTGCGACGACTACTAATGTAGAAAGGGAGTTTTTTTTTCTAAAGCTGGTTGGCTTTTAAGCAACGATGCACAAATTTGAATCCTAATGAAGTTGCTAGAATTCTTTGTTTAGGTCGATAGAGAATCAAAAGAAAAGAGACTGAACATTTTTCTTCTGTCAGTAGTTTGGTAACTCAATCTTCACCTTTTTGTTACAAATATTTCTCTTCACTATTTCAATAAAGAAAACATTATTTTCACTCAAGGATATAGATCAATTTTGGTGTTATGAATTTCACAGACTAGTGATTAAATCGATCATATTCTTTCGGTTTTTCAACTGAATAAGAACATTGCGGAACTGATTTACCTTGCCCTGTGGACATCTCTGATATAAGTAATACTTGGTCTTGAATGTCCAATGAGTTTATTTTAATAAAGAGCACAAAACACCGCAAAAAAATCGGACATCGTCAGAGGTCATTGGACTTGATCGTTTCATGTTACTGAAGTCCATTAGGATTCAATGGTCTGTCGAATTCGAAAAGATCTTATAACTTTAGATCGGACACGAAGCTAAGATCGATAAACACTGGTAAGTTTTTTTCTAACATTACCCATCCATTCGATAGGTTTATCAGGATGCAGCAGGTAATGTATTCTTTAGACATTTTCCAATATTGTACGCCGTGTGATGAACAGTCGCCGACAGGATGTCATGAGCTGATGAATCTTTTTAATCAGCAGTTTAATTAGTAGATTAAATGGTTTATTCCATCGTAAAAAATGGTCACAAATGATGTGCTATTTAACCCATTCATCACGATTTAATTTCCATACAATAATATGAGACACACCGGCGGGTTCTACTGTGATGAATGGGATAATGCATTCTGGCAAACGAGTTCAAGACTTAACATTCTACGGATTTTTCAGTTTATCACAGCCTTTCGTGGACCTTTATCGGTAGTTTTGTAATCTGTGAGTAGCATAGAACGATGCATAATTAGTAATACATATACTCTTCGTTAGCAAATAAAAGAAAAATATGCATGACTGTTCTCTGCTTCGTTTATTCAACTAAATGACATACAGGCAATACTTATCCTATCTTTCTAATTCAGCTATACATATCGTACACCTTTACATATAAAATGGAGAAAGGACATTTTTCATTTTCTTGTTTTTTACATACGCAAAACAAACGAAGCTGCAACGACCGTATAAAAGTAGTCCTTGAAAAATAAAGTACATAGTGGTGACTGTAAAAAGAGAGAGAGGGGGGAAAGAAAACGCATTACTGTATATGTTTTTAACATTAATAGACAAACGCAGCGGACCATTTTTTTTCTCTTTTACGCAGTTATGATGATTATCAATAGTTAAAGTTATGTGCATATATGTCAATTATAATATTATCATAGGTGAAATTATAGAAAACATTTCACGATATAAAGTCTAATAGCTTTTGCATAGAAAATGATGTTGTGCTGACGTTTTCTACAATTTCGACAGTAGTTATTTGATTAATGTTGCATGCTTACGAAGGAGGCTTACAACTGCAATTGAGAAATCAATAGTTATTTCACGTTAGTATCGATAAAAATATTGCTGCAGTCATAAGGTTTCGTTCGGTTGTTTGCTTTATCCACTCTCGCTTTTAGTTTATTTAATGACGATTTTTCAATTTCAGATATTTTACGATATTACTAAGGCATAATTCAGCTTCTATCATCGTCGATATTACTACGCATTTTCAAACGAAAACAAAACTGGTGATTTCAAAAGGTTTGAGAAGCAGGTATAGAACGTTTCGTGTTCTTTCGAAATAATCATACACCATCACGATCCACACCTGCGACATCGATGTTTCGATATGATGAGTATTAAAAAAGACCTTTCTACGACGAGAGCAACCGATACTATCGATAGAATTGAGCATACTAACAACTCTGCACTGTTGACATGTATGATGTGGATCGATCTATTGTTAGACCAGTGAAAGGAATGCGCAAGTACGAGCCGTAGTGTCTACGTGAGATGTTCATAGAGCAGGAAAATGTGCCCTGTGGATACCTCTAGTGACGGCGATGATGCGGTGAGTGTGTATGCGTTGGTGAAAGTACAGATGAGAGCAGGCATTTCGTTCTTTATTATTCACCCACATCCATACTCACGCATGCTAACTCTCATTGTCGAGATGGCTTAGGGCATATTACATCAGGATAATTTGCGTACCAGGTAGATGATATCCAAATCAAAAGTAAAGTGCTGATTTAGTGACTAAATCCACTAAACTATAGGCCTAGGATTTGTTGCAGCTCTAGTCTGGTTGAATCTAACCTAATCACTTTTAGTGTCACTCAACATCTGGGCAAATTATTGGATTATTAGTTTTCTTCGTTACCTATCAAATTATACCATAGGTATGGGTGATAACTCAACGGCGAAGCGGCTGAGGTAGGAATGTTTTGAATGGTTTCCATGTATATACTTTTTGCGTCACTCGGTAAAGGAACATTTCAAAATGTTTGCCGTCCGTCTGCCCGGCAAATATTTTGGAATTCTCTTCGAGTATCCTTGTTTGAGGCAAATAAGGCATGTTTGTATTGGGAAATGTGTTACAACATCAGTCGTTTTTAAACTGTGACGAATTTGCACAGAAACTGATCCTCTACATAGACTTATTAGAGAATAACACTTATACTGATATGTTCTCGATTACTGTGTGTAAGATTAGATATATTGCTTTAATATAGATAGTGTTCTACAGCTAATGCAAAATGACATACAAGTAGGAGTCAGATTGTAATGTATTCGACCTATTTTAACATGTTGTATAAAAGATATGCAGCGCGGCACAACTGATGTAATTTCGTGCTTGTTAGATCGTACTATTTGTATTAGAAAAATACATTCAACACTAAGGGTGTGAGGGCATCACTGTAATTGAATGTATTTTTATAATTTGAGGCGTATATATATAACTGCTTGTATTCTAACTGATATTAATCTTTTGGAAGTCTATCCGTAATATAAGTCGAACTAGACAATTGATGTGTATTATATATACGTAAAAAAAATTAACAGTAGCTTTTTAGTGAGAAACAGCGAACATTTAAAAAAGACACTTTGTGAGTAGAATTTTCGTGAACAACGGATCTCCTTTCCATCGCTATCAATGCAATTATTCAAGTAGGTTTCTTCGATGATTTTTAAGAGTGTTGGACGTATGATCAGACTGACCTTCACTCTTTTTTTAAAAAGAGTAAGATTATTTCCAATTTGAATTCAGCCAGCTATTCTATTCATTAAACTTCAGCATGTGATGGTCTAAGTATTTTCACAAATAAAAAACATGTTTGTTTCCATAGGAGACGTTGGCCAATATTAATTATTTGCTGCGGTCTTTGTCTTTTCGTTCCTGTTGCAATAGTTGTCGTAGCCAGTTTAATTCCAACATACTTGTCACGAAGTGATTTCGCTACCCGCAATACCGGTCTATGTACAATATTCGCTTTTCACGTTAACTTAATGCATAGGTAATTTGTTTGGTTTTAGTCAATATTCCTCTCGACGTCTCGTACAGTACCAATGTTAAAAGTACGGATGTTTCACAAGGTCCTGGCGTGACAGATCTGACTACTAAAGTAGACCTTTTTGTTGCTAGCGATCCAGTTTTTATTATTGTTCTGTAGTTGATGCAACAATACCCAAGTGCTACTATCGAAACCATCAAGACTCTGTTCATTGCATCAGTGTCAACAAGTGCCAGTAAGAAACGAAGAAATACAGTGTATGTAGTAAACTCCTTTCAAACATTTTAAACTTTTTCTTATTGCAGCACAAAAATGCAAGAGTGTACGACATATCCAGGCACATCAGGCGATTTTCTTTATATTTCATTCGTCATTAAGCGTCGAAACGCATGTGTGTCGAACGGTTGTCTGAAGGCGTTTAATGAAACGTTACAAAAAATCAGCACCGCTTTACGTTTAAATACGGCACTACTCTTGACAATGGCCAATGGTTCGACAGTGACTGCGCAAGTGGCCTTCTGTTCCTTTAACCAAGTTCAGCTTAGTAAATAACCACATTTTCTTCATTTCCTTTCCAGTATACGAGCCCATTTACGCGATCTTAGACATAAAGACTACCCCAAAGGAATTCCTAACTGGTGATGATGAACGCATGAGCTATTTTCGACATTTTGGTGCATACTCAATTCTCTTCTTCACTCTTCATAAGGTAGCAACTAGAGAAGATTCCGTATGTCACACAGAATATTCCTTATCCAATCACCATGAGTGCGGTATATTTCAATAGATCTGTTAGCTTGTTCTCGCTTCAAAGCTGTTCATTTTTTCTTCTCTCTTCACTCCTTTTCCCGTGATCTACCCTTGTAAATCGGATCCGCCCTAATACTAAAAAAAAGATTATACCAGGTAATATCTTTACCCTGTCCGTCAACCGGCAATCATCCGGGCCCTCTGTGTACGACGAATGATATTTGTCTACATTTTCTTTCTGTGCCATTTTTTAACTACGAATGATTTATCTTTGAAGCTACGCCTATTTCGACCAATACAACGACACCAACGACAGTGAAAATATCAAATGCTCCTGCTGTGACAGCAGGACAGACCGTGACAACGTCCACAATAACGACAACTACAACTTTGGGTAGGGCTTCCACACCTAATATATGTGATTGAAAAACAAACAGTACACATGCTCACGACCGACTGCTTTTCATTGAGACTTATACGATATGTACCCTTAAAAATAATCGTATTTCATTGTATTTAGCTCTTTGTCAGAACGGCGTACAAGATACAGGCGAAACTGATATTGACTGCGGCGGTAGTACAACTGGTTGTTCCAAATGTGCTGACACCAAAAACTGTCTGGTTGGCAGCGATTGCGTTAATAACAAGTGCTCAGCTAACAAATGTGTTCGTAAGTAATAATACTGGTGCAGTTTCAGTCGAGTAATCGCATTCTTGTGCTTAGCTCTCTGTCAGAACGGCGTACAAGATACAGGTGAAACTGATGTTGACTGCGGCGGTAGTACAACTGGTTGTTCCAAATGTGCCGACACTAAAAGCTGTCTGGTTGACAGCGACTGCGTTAATAACAAGTGCCCATCTAACAAATGTGTTCGTAAGTCATTTTGAAGTTTACTATTATGAGAGTAATGCTAGCATGAAACCAAAACGGTGAGCGAAAAGGTTAGTTAAATGAAATGAATAAAACATTTCTAATAAATTCCAACGGAGCTTTTGACATTCTGCAAAGCGTTTTTTTAGAATGTGTAACGGATGGTGACTGCACTGGTGGTCAAACATGCCAGGCAAATGTGTGTGCCGCTCCTTCGTGCTTTTGTGGTGATCAAAATGTTATGTTACACGACGGAACAGCACGATCGATGGACAAACTACAACCAGGCGATCTCGTTTGGACATTGTCGGATGATGGCAAAATGTTTTCTCTTACAGAAGTTATGATTATCTCTCACCGGGAAGAGAACCTCACAGGTAAGCTAATACTTTCACATTATAGTCCGTTGTTCGATTATTAACATTTATTGACAAACTTATTGTCTTGTGTCTGTCTGATAGTAAGTTCGTGTAACATAAGTTAATCGAGAACACAAATTTCAGAAATATGATTACTTCATTTGATTAGATTTCATTATTCATTAGCTCTTTAAATCTGAGAACCCGGAGTCTCTCTTACACGAGACACAGTATAGTTGATTGTAGAACGAAAGGAGTAGCACCTGCCCATGAGAGCTAATATTCTCCAGAACGGAGGCAGTCAGAGTGAAAATATGGTGGGAAAAATTCGTGTGAGAACAGTTGTTGAACAGTTCTACATAGCTTTTAGAGTCTGTAATCGGCCACCACAATTAATTACTCGTATATTTCTACCTGTGTAATACATTCAACATGAGTTTTGATTGATATCAAACAGTTTTGGATGTTTGTGGCTCTTGCGCTAAGCTATTTTTACGCTACGCAACAGTGACATTTTACAGGCAGTTAGATGTATCATAGGCACGGCTATTGTGATTGTCCCGCTTGAATACATTTACCTATGATTACTTTAGAATGTCATCAGAATCAACTTGTTGTAATTTCAAACGGTACTATAGGCTCATGAGAACAAGAATTATAAAGATCCTACTTAACGCAGGTAATCTGAGTGGATAATGTTTTTCATATGATGCGTTATAGCGTTTGTCCAGAAATTGCATCTATTTGGAGGTAAGGTGAATTTCCGGGAAATCCAAAAACAACTCTTCATAGTCGAAGTGGATATCCTAAACACATCACACAAAACTTCCCGTGAGGCTGCGGCGAGAGGTGATGAGGGTTTCATTTCAGTCATTCTTTTCTTTTCAACAAAGATTTCTACTTGTGTTTTATTGCTATAGCTATGACCATCTGAAGGGGTACAATGAATTTAGTCTATCTCATAACCTTTGGTAGTTTCCGTATAGTCCATACAGTAGAATTTCCCGGAAAACGCTATAACGCAGGAAATCATGTTTTTAGCGTCACATGATATTCTGAAGTATGGTATGATCATATTAAGGGTCTAAACTATTCATTTATGCGGTTAATTGATGTTCAGCTCCACAAAAACCCTCGTCGATTTTTTCAGAATTTATGGAGCTGACCGTTCTTTGAATTTCATTTAGCAAAGAGATCCCTAGTTGTTTTTACTGATAGAGAACAAACGAACAATGAGGTAACGTTTTGTTTTATACGCGTAGAGTCTGTTTATATAGTTCGTATGCCATAAAACTGAACATTATAATATGTTGGAGCAGTCGTTTGGATATCACGATAAGTTTAAATACCGTGGATAATATCAAAACGCATATGATCGTGCTTTGAAAATGTTCCGATTAAGAAGTGGCAGGCGAAAGAACGTACTCTTGCAGTTTGAAGTAAAGAGTCTTTATTTCTTTTTTTTACTCATAATGATCATTTATAATTTGTTCGTAAGCATAGAATCAGCTAGCATTTGTTTTAGCTATTTTCTATACCGTGGAAACGATAACTGGTCATCGAATAAGTTTATCAAATATACACTACATTCGAGTTCAATATTTTGGCTACTTAACACCACAAGAACTAACATTAAATCATTCGGTGTATGTTGCGAATATTGGTCCAGTTCGTATTCGATCGATTACAATCGAACTCAAACTGGGTGCATACAATCCTCTTACACTTAGTGGAACCATCTTAGTCAACAATATTTTAGCTTCTGTTTACAGTAAAAATAAACTGAAAGGTACACACTATACCAAACATCGAATATTTGCGCCCTACCGATGGTGGTATTCTTTTGCTAAATATTACCTTGGCTTTGAAAATGTTTATGAAACGCCCTCAAACGGAAACAATCGGTTCCTGCGTTCCATGACTCATGAATATGGCCATGTTGTCTATTTGATTTATCAAATCACACAGGCATTCGGGATCATACTATTGGTTACAGTTATTATGCATATTATTCCTCGAATGGCTGCATTGAAACATGTTCCGTTGTTTCGTTAACTTATATAAGCAGTAATTTTGAGCATGAACTGCTTGAACTAATTCACAGAGACTGCTTTCTTTAATCTTCGAACTCTATACGAGGACTTTATTCATAACGACAAACTCATAAATGCATGATTGTCGACGACATTTGCTTTTTTGCTTCTTGATTTTCTTCCTACGCTAAATACACGATTATGCACTTCAGCCTATTTTTGTTGTCAAAGTTCTCTCTTCCATTCAAATCTTCTATTAAACAGACATTCAGACAGAGGAAATGCAGAAAATAGTATAGATGAGGATGTTGTAGTGCAACTCTTGCCTTATAAGAATTACGAAAAGCTGCGCGGTTTCAGATATCCTATCAAATAAATCTTTGTAAACTAAAATATGCTAAAATGTACGAGTTTAATATCTTATCTAGATTGCGTGGCTTGAGAAGTCACCTCGGGTCGCCCGGTATGATGAATTATCAGAGTGACTTACTATGACTTTTCATTTAACACTGTCTTGTCATCTACACACTAACAATCGTTGCTTTCCTTTATTAGACACAGCTTACATTTGAGTGGTCATGTATAAAACAATGAGGACTTTACCTAAATAATCTACAAAGTTCAGTAACTTCGACATGTGGTTCGGTATGGATCTACGAATTGGGCCTCTAGTTTGATCATCTGTACTTGTATGCGTACATAAGTGCAAGTAACGCAGCGTAGCAGCCGTTGTCCCTCTACTAAAGGAATGTCATAAGATCTATTACCATCCTTGGAAACAGAAGAAAATCTATTTTATATCAATAAATCTAATCGTTTGACGATTTCTCCTAGTCTTATACTTATACTGATTTTGCATCTTTGAAACCTCTGAAACTGACGTATAGTTGTTTGTCGCCCACTTACGATTAGCTGTTGGTTTACAGTCAATTTTCATATCAAACAAGTGATTTATTTCAGCCAACTCATCCCGTTACCAAACACATCCTATAACTTTATGTAACTGTGTGATCGACAATATAGATAGTATAGACTTTATCATTCTCATTGGTTTTTGGAACTGATAAGCAGCAGACTTCATTCTTACAGATATATCAAGTATCATCGAAAACTATTCAAACTAGATGAGATGCTCATAAATCTCACCTTTCAAATAATTTTCTAAATAGGTCTAGTGGTTCGCCGATTTACCTATGACTAATTGTGTTATGCCTTCTACTTTTGACTAATTTTCGGAACGAATAGTAAGTTTCCTTTTATTCCCTACTCCAAAATGGCGATCTTGCCTTCATATGGCTATCAGAAGACAATAATTAAAAATTTTTACTACATGATTCCTACCATTGTACTTCACGTATTTAAATTCTCATTTATAGGGCGGATTTTTCTACGGACCTAAAAAATACAATTATAATAATGCGCATAATTTTTAGCAATATATTTCCACCAAAAATTATATTGAAAAATAAGATACATAGCAGTATACAAGACAAGCACAATACTACTCCTTTCGATTTCTTGAATTGCAACTGTCACAATATGAGCTGCGCTAAATAATTTGGTGACAACATGTAAACGATTATTTTCATACACATCACAACGACGAATGGCATTCGCTTCATTACTCGCGATAAAGATTTTAGCAAAAGATGTGGCGAAATTTTTCTTTCGGTCAGAGAGGGAAAAGATCCATACATGTTGTGCCAGACAAACTATTATCTGATTCTTGCTCCTGAACTCGCTTACCTTTCAATCGCAAGCTTTATTGAATATAATGATTATTAGTTAATCATCCGACGATAAGTCATTGAAATTAGAATCACACTCGAGTTTCTCTGCCTTGTCCACTCTTCGATAAGAACTAACGTAAGACCTACATTCCTCAACCTCAATAACCTTTCGATGTAACTTCATCTAAATGTATACTATTCAACAATAGACAATCATAATAAGACAGATGTATATACAAAAGAACGCGCTTAAATCATTTTGTATATACTTTTCTCCCGGTCGAGGTTATATCTTTCAGAAAATTAACTCCATCGTGCTACCGGCTGCCGTTCGAGAGAGGAAAGGAACCAAAGATGAGTGCATATTTCCAGACTTAATTAGTTAAAGAAAACAATTTTTATGTGAGATCTCAGGCAGACAGAATATTGATCAATTTTAATGTCATTTTGAAACAACGGCCGTTCACGCTAAACGAAAAATCAACAATCAAAGAGAAAGAAAAGCCGTTTTGTTGTAGTTAAAATGTATATTTTAAAAAATCGCTATTGCCTGGATGCATTCATTGAAGATAAGACATCTGTGAATTCTTATTGTTTTCGGTATTGTTTATTGAAAATCGAATAGAAATATTTTTACGTTTTGGGACAAACAGCGACTCTTTTATTTGTGGACAATGAAGTTAGTTCATTTAGGACATATGTACTTACAAGATGATTAGAACTTAGAGAAGATGTTGATGGCTCTAGCGACGTCATAGGAATATAGGTTCAGTTGCACTTGAACGATTTGTGTCCTTACCTTGTTGACGGCGAAGTTTATGGAAAACAGTTCATATATACAAGCAGTATACTTAGTGACAAAGAATAGTTCTGATGATTGAATGGTACGACAGCTGTACCCTCTTTCTAGAACACAAAAGACACTGAATAGTGTACTCTTCAAAACAAAACAAAGTTGAAATTATGCCAAACGATCTATGTCCGTTTCGACAACCATGTGTTACACTATGCTCCTCTGCAAATGATTCTTCTATACGCGACACTCTTCTATTGTCTTTACTAATGAGACAATTTATATTTTCTGTCTTATCGATTCTGGCTATGTTATTGTTTATTTCACTCTATTCTGTCCTATACTTAATGTGTAATTTAAAGAGTGTTTTTTGAGCCTTTAACGCTTGGATTTTACTGTTCTTTATTATGTTTCGAATAAGATTTTAACCGATATTTGAATAATTTAGATACTCGTAAGAATAAATAAATCACGATAATAAAAATGGATATCAAAAGAAGATATGAATCGAAATTGTATTTAACAAAGGTAGAAAGTTGAGATTGTTCAGAATTGAAGTTATTCAAGTGCAAATAACCGATGAGTAGCCATTGATCGATTATTTTAGCCGCTTTTTGAGCTCCTCCGGCTAATTCACTAATTTGATGAATACAGACTAAACGTTCAACGACACTGTCGTGTTTATCATTTAATTTGTTAATATAACTGGCAAGTAGATCCGACGTAATGGTATGCCAATCAACAACATATCCAATATTGGCTTCTTCTACTTTCATTGCATTGTCAAACTGATCAGCAAAAGCCGGTAAAACAATCAATGGTACGTGCATATATATTGATTCAGCCAGACTACTGATTCCTCCATGTGTTATAAAGATTCTGACGAATGAGTGAGAGAGTACTTGTTGTTGATTTATCCAAGAAACAATCTTCAATCGGAATTCAATGTCTATTCCAGAACTGAGAAATTGAAGAATTTTATGGTGTTTATCCTGTTGAGGGACAGTTAAAAGAAGGCGCATTTGTGGAATAAGGTCTAATGTTTGAATAAGTACTTTCCATATTCGTTCATGAGGTATAATAACTGTTCCTAATGCAACAACTACGACAAATTCATCCAACGATTTACTTCGATCAAGCCATGCATTCACGTCGCTAGATTTGTCTGTCTTAAACAAAAAGTAGAAAACAATGACACTGAATAAACTCACGATATATATGAATAAAATACACGTGATTCTTCTCACGAAAGATCATTATGATGCAATTGAGTATTCTGAAAACGGAATACTTACTTCAGCTTCTGTTTGGTTATCGAGCACAAAGCCAATGTAATGATAATCGATTGGAAGATGAGAGTGAAGCTCGAGTGCAAATGAACTTGCGACAAGAACAGGAATGTTTTCCCATGAATTCCAAGTATCGAATAGACTTGATGATGAGCTTAATAAAGTACGATTTGATGCACGTCGATGCTCGTTCAGTATTCGTACAGGCGTAGCAAAATGATACACTCGGAAAAGGGGAAGAATGAAGAAATTATAAAAACGATAGATAAAGGAATTTCGTAAATGTTTTCCTGTCAATGTATCATAACCGGAAGGAATCCATGATGGGCGATTCAGTTCATTGACTGAGAATGGAAGCGCACTGATCATAAATCGAATGTTCAAATCACGTGCAAGATCTAATGCAGCATGCGCATAAATATCAATAATCATCATGTCGTATTTATGAACGTTGAGATCAGATAGAAGACTATCATGCATCGGTCTGTAATCAGCTACATTAGACATTAGTGCGCGACTTGACAAGTGAAAACTCGATTCATTATCGTGTAGCTCGTGCATTCGTTCAACATTTGGCAAGGGGCCAAGAGAAACTATTCCGACTGATCGATAACGTTGAAGTTTATTTATAACTATTGGAATATCCTCGTTAAATACCGCAAAAGATATTCGGTGACAATGCGAAAGTGCACGAGTAATACTAATTAGCACATTTAAATGAGAGCGGTATGGGATAGGTACAAATAATATATGCGATGGTGGAACATTTGATATCGATGATTGAGTTTCAAACAACAATACAAGGAAAAGAAATATTCTAATGAAATTTTGAACCTCGGCCATTGAGTTTGGTAAATAGATAGTTAATCCAATAATAATAATTTTATTTGACAAAAACTATCTAAAACATACATCTGCAAGATATTCTTTGTTGAAGACAAGACATCCAAAAGGGATATGACTCTTGCTATACCAATCTTCTCGCGAAACTTTCGACAAGAGTCGATAGCATAGCTTCTTCAATGCTCAATTACAATAAAAACATGATGTTCAAAAAATATGTATGTGATTTGTAGATCGTAAAAATAAAAACTGTAATTATAAAAACTTATTAATTTTGTGCATTGTACGCAAAGCGAGTTCCAATTCAATAAAACCATAGTAGACATCTCGACGCCATCTTACATTATATACAATCATCGATAACTCATGCGTGTTATCACACGAATGGTTTAATACTTATGGTTGATAAATTAACTAACGTATGCGGTAATGAACTAGATTGGAATAGTGGTATAGCTGAACTATCGTCTGTCATCAGAAATCTAAGTTTAGGGAGCATTTCTTTTTCTACTTCGGTAGTGGAGCGGAAAGAATGTGAAAATAAATATTTACTTTCATTATCTATTACTGTCTTCACGATTCGCTGGTAACATACAAAGAAAAGAAGAAAATGGATATGTTTGAAACAGATTTTTGTCTTCGTTGATAGAGGCTGCCTATGGTCACCATGACCTATCGTAAAATCACAAAAAAATTCTTCGAAGGACAGTATTAAGAGGTAAAACGCGTTTCTAAATAATCATCAAACAATACTCATTACAAAAGCTTTTGAGAAGTTACTTTATAGGAGAAATATTAAGATTATAGTTCCAATTAGAATTCGCAACTCTTGATTACATGAATCTCGACGTAAAGATAATATCCTGATACAAACATACACTAGACTCACCTTATTTCAATGTGGTCAAATTTCGATCTCAATTTAAGAATACAAATCTCTATCTTTATCCGTTACTTATATTTACCTAATATTGTAGCTTGTATTCATACGGACTATAACAAAGATTCACTTCAATGCACACATTCATAACCATGAAGATAGAATTGCAAACGTCCTTCATATAAATGTATCTAAAGCAAAGCACATAGTTGACATATATCTGATCACTGATGACGTTTTAACATCCTATTTAGATATGCAATTCCACATATCGAATGAAATTATGGATTCAGAAGTTTTACGAATACGATTCTCTTTGAAGTTCATTTCATCGCTTATTGCCAAATGTGAAACATAAACAGACTCATCTGACTAGTCGAACATATTGTTCAAACAAACAAAGTAGACGAAAGCGAAACAAGGGCATATGAATATACGACGTACGCATACGTGAATACTTTCGTATCGAAAAATAAAAAGAAATATGCACGTGTTTTATTCCTTCAATCTCGACAATTTCGTGCGTTCTTTCACCTATGTTTCGATAGGTTTCACAATAACGTTACACTAAGTATCGACAATCAGACGTTTCAATAGTTTAAAAATGATCAACGAAAGAAAATTGGTATATATATCACCATATTCTATTCCAGTGCAATAACTTCGATACTCTAATAAATATATAATTATTCTCAAGTTTGAGAAATATGAGTTGATGTGGAATAATGATTTAGATGTCACAGGAATAAATTATATACCCTTCCAATGAAAAATCTTGACTATATTGCTTCACCATTGTATTCACATTCGTATATAAAACCTTCTATGGAAGAAATGACACATCAACTCGTTATCGATTTAACATTTATCCGATTGAAAGTGACTGTGACAGAGAAGACGATAGCTAAAGCCGAGGCGTTTAGCAAAGCACAAAGTAAGAGTGTTCGGGAATCGAGACGGCACTTGGGTGACACTGACGTTGCATAAAAGAATTACTTAAACAGGTAAATAACATTTTGCCTCCAAGGACCTAGAGGAATCCATTATAGCGTCATTTGAGGCTACGCCTTGGAAAAACACTCTTTGGGAAATTTCCACTGTTTATTCCAATGTCAACCATGCGACTGTTCGCGCTTATCTAGGTATCCAAGTTAGTTAGTACGTTAAAGAATACAGTCAGATAATAGTTGTTCATATGACATTATTAAGTCAACTTTATCAGCTTCCAGCATACAGCTGGGCCTCTTGAACTGAAATCGAAACCCGTCTTACGCATTCTGTGAGACTGATCCTACTTTGTCAACGAATATAACCTACAAACGCTGCATCTAGTTACTCACCATCTGCAGACATCAAATACACTGCAAAAAATGGATTCTGCAGTATGATTTTTGTCTGAAGTTTATAGAATGCTGTATTCGCATTATTTAATTGATGATATTTCGCATAAATAATACTGGTCAAACAGGAAAATTCACAGATACTTCGGCTGGCATAGCTCAGCTTTAATGTTACTTGTAAGTAGTTTAGTAAGGAAATATGATCTCGAAAAACTACAATGAAGATATTTCAATTAGTCGAGTTTTGTTCTCTGGATTTTTAATTACTAAATTATATTCTTTTTTATCTAAAAATGAGTATTGACTAGAGATTATTTCGATTCAATATTGCTTAATTATGCTCGTCATATGAATGGAATTATTTTGTACTTAAAGTATAAAAATCACATTTGCATAGATTGCTAATACTACGGGCTTATTTTTAAGATTATTGTATGGAGAAAGAAAGTCCATCGACGTAGAAAATTCATTTACATATGTACTAGATGAAGATTTAATATAGTATAGGCAATGTTATTTGTTTATTTTGGTAGCACTTAGAACAACTCATCGGGCCGTGTAACGGCATCGATGACTTTTTTCTATCGGATAATAAGTAATTTCGTATTTTAAGAACGAAGAAACATCGGAGCGCTATATAAATAGAGCAAAAGAAAATTTACATAGAATATAACTTTGAAATATCGCTAAATGCACTCGATATCATTAATTGTTCTGTTGCTGCTCGTTTTCTCATGTGCACGTAAGTTTGACAATTGGACAAACTCTCTATACTTTAATTTAACTGTTCGTTAGTATTTGTGGTCACTGTTGAAGCAGCATTTGATGAAGCTTATTACTATCGATGTGTTGCAGGTTGCCGACGCATGCCACTGCCACAAGCAAGAGCGATTTGTTATGCTGCTTGCATGGCCAAAGCAACTGGGAAGTAAATAGTTACGGCAAATGAACGTCAATCTATTTTAATCTAGCTTCTTTTTTTCCGTCTTTTTATTTAACTTTAATAAAAGATGAGATCAGACAGAGGGCGACTGTGTAAAGAGCGATTATCTAAAAGAGAACGCAATGCATTGATTGGTGAATGGTTTATGATTCATACGTGTAGTAGAATCAAATATATCTTCCATTCTATAAATTTTCACAGTGAAATCATGAATACACGAATCGTGTCGAATAATATTAAACTTCGCCTTCATTATTGGAATATTCGAGGACGTGTTCAAGCGGTGCGTTACATGCTTGAAGATATCGCACACAAACATGAAAATGTTGACTATAAGGAAACTTTTGAACCCATCAATACAATGATGAATACATGGGCGAAAAGAAAAAGTGATCAAACAGTGTCGGGTCCATTTCGAACTCTACCAGTTCTTCATTGGAATGATTCACATACGTTCAGCCAGTCATTAACAATTGGTTTGTTTAAACGGATTGTAATTGAGTTTTTCATCTTGAATCCTTTATTTTAGGACAATTATTAGCAAAAAAGTTTGATTTATATGGTCAATTAACATCCAAAGTCAACGATCAACAATTTCTCGAAACTTACATCAATGGTGTTGTTTCATGTGCATACACAGATATCATATCCAATCTGATCACATGTATATGGAGTATGGTCAATTTTGTCGATGAGACAAATCCATCGAATCGATTAACTCGAAAGATTCCGAATGATCTCAAAGCTTTGAATGATTTGCTTGAGAAAAGCTCTACATCCTTTTATTACGATCAACATCAACCAACGATCGCTGATTATTTCGTATTTGAAGCGTTTACCATGGCGCGCGACTATTCGAAGAGATTCTTACCCAATGAAGAGAACTATCAATCGTTAATCAAACTTGAACATGTGATGAAACAACGACCGGCAATAGCCAATTATTTCAAGCAAAATTTATTATCGAAACGATTCACGGGTTCACCAAAAGAAACCGAATACCTGATAAATCTTACAACGCCACTGAACTGAGATGAGATTCATTTTGTTCTTTTTATTTTCCCATACAAAAGAAAACTGCACGTTACAATATAGACTTTAGATCGATCATTTTCTAGTCGATTGTAAGATCGTGTTAACATTAAAACGAACTGGATTGATTCGATTTGTTTGTCGCGAACAGAATATTCGATCTCGAACGTTTCTTCGAAAGCGACTTGATGACATGAGGAATACATAGCAGCTTCCCTGTAAACGAGAAAGAAAACATGCGTAATCACGCTGAACAAGAGATGAATTAACATACAGCGAAATAAAAGTAAGTCACCATACTTATAACTGTCGATGAAAAATATTCTTTCAATTGTCGATTGAAATCCTTTGCAGTTGCACTTGTAATCATGTTATAAACCATATAAACACCATATGGAATAAGACTCACAACAACAAGTATGATTTGATAAAGCGTCATTCTCACTAACTGATGGTCAGTACGAGACCTGGTCAGTGCTTTGGTCTTCTTAATGTTACAATAAGTTAACCATCCAAATATGCTCAAAATCGAACACGGAATTGCACACACCAGCCCAAGAAGATAAAATATGGTATAACCATAATAAATCGGATCCACAATTGCACAGATATTGGATCGAATATCGTAGTAAATAAGAATTGGTATTCCATGTAAACAACTGAGAACGACAACAACCAGAACGGTTCGATGTGCACGACGTACACTAATAAGATTTCGAAGATAATTACTTTTTGATGTAACTAGAAACTGATCAATTGCAGCCAAACACGAACAACTCATAGAAACGATAGTTGGAGTAACAAGAAAGTAGTGTCGGAGTTTGCATCCTGTTCGAGAAATACTGGTCAGATCAATTCCGTAAGCAACGCTCAAAATTCGAGCAGAAATATTGAACAAAACATAGAGAAGATTAGTGATTGATTCGATGAGGAAATAGAACGTACAAGAAGTTCGACGATAAGCGAGAACTTCAGAAAATACAAAAATATTCGTCGCATTGCCAATTGTACCGGCGATGAGAAAGAAAAAGCCAGCATAAATTGTAAATTGTTGAGCGTCATACAGCAATGCCATTTGAGTTGTGTTTGTCACCAATGTTAGTAGGAGAGTGAAGTTGTTTTTCAAGCAAGATTTGTCGAGTGGCAGTACCCTGGTTTCTTTTGTCTATTGTAATTACATACAATTCATGTGAAGTTCTCCGATTCTGTACTTAACTTCCAGAAATAACAAGAGCAATTATCATTTCGGCCGAATGAAAAAAAAAACCGCGGCGCAAGAATCCTTCGCCGAAGATCACATTTCTATCGTCCTTCACTATTTACTATCTGTTGTTCAAAGTTCGATATATAAAATACTAAGAATGCTTTAACAATTATTTTTACAGAGTTGATTTGAACTTTTCGTTTGAGGGGAAACAGATGCGTCGATGATAAAAATGGCATCTTTGACGGTCATTTTGTTTCTTATTTCACCATTTAACGAGCGAAGAAAATGGTTATCATTATTATAATATTGATATGCTGCAAGTTGTAAACCTTTTTTTAATAGTTTTATAATTATAAGATATTTGTTATACTGCCTGTAATACTCATTGCAAGCTTCTTTACTAATTCTCAGTCTCAACTGTTTGGAAGTAAGGGTGTCTAGTTTTCTTCCGTACACACTTAATAACTAATTCCTTTTATTTTTGAGAGCACAAGTATACTACAATTATCACAACAACCACTTCATCATCCAGGCATAGATGACTCTGTGAACTGAAATATACAGTAAGGTGCAAAAAATTGTTGATATACTTATCGACATCCTTTCGGGCAAAGCGTGAGATAGCCAAACTCTTTTATGTTATTATATGACACAGACTTAAGAGTCTGCAAATGAATCGCTGATTTGAACTTTCATCTTTTCGGTGAATTTTTACAAGATAACATCACCACATTCTCGGAAACTGTTGAGAAATTTATCAGTTACACATGAATCGTGGGATATTTTCAACATCAGAATCTTGTTACTTATTATAATCTCCGCATTTTGATTGGTGTTAGATGATTAAATGACTTTGATACCTAATCCAGCTAATCTGAGACTGATGCTATTAATCTGTTCAGTTCCATCCCATTAAATACAGTTATGCAGGTAATACAGCGTAAATGAAACCGTTTCAACAGTATATCTTATACGTGTTAGACTGGACGAGACACTTATGAGACTGAAAATATTTGATAACTTTTTACCTCGGTATTGACTAAAAAATTCCTGTAGTTCCTATGAACATGCAATTTTAGCTCTACCTTGAGGATGAGGATAGTATAAAAAGTGACTTAAGACCATATTTCAGAATTTTTAGCTAAAATAGTGGTATTCAATCTTACTTATATTAAATCTAAAAGGTGAAGTATTTTTGTTCATTAGCTGAGTAGCGAGACTGAAATAAATGAATGCCCAAATAGCAATCTCACGTACATAAGATTGATAAGATCATCTTGTTCATCTCACTGCATCATGGTGCTATGCTTCTCGATCTCGACATGTTTATCATAACTAGTATGAATATAAGGATCACCATTCTACTCTTCGATGTATCGCTGCGACAGTAATATAATATGATCAGTTGGTCAAGTTATTAGTGGTGTATCCGAGGTCTGGCATAGCCTGACACTGCCATACAACTAGGAGTTTTTCCGAAGTCATTGAGATGAACTTCCTCGTTAAGTACACTGTCTTTTAAATATATTATTGTGAAAGTGACTTGAGAATAGATATCCGATAAATAGTAATATCTTCTGAATAGTACAGCTAATCTATTACCATTGGATAACAATAAAACCAGTTTTTTTATTCTCTCTAGGTAACAATCAAGTAAAGAGATGATAGTCCGTTTCGGGGATAATGCTTACATATCAAAATTCCTATTTGAAAGATGGACTTATTCTATAAAAGAATTAAAAATGTGATATACTAAGTTACAAGTTCAATTTCTGCTAATAATGAAAAGGCAAAAAACTTGAAAGACTAAAGATTGATTTTAACTCATCAAGTAATATGGTGGGCTTCGAAACTTCTGTCAATGTCAATACAAGTTATATGTAGCTTCTGGCTTAAATACCGGCCATTTTTGTGAAACTGCACAACAGTTTTCAACCAATATTAGTCGCACTAAACGTATAAAGGTAGTCCTAACGTTTGTGAATGGTTCCGGGATAACAGCTGAAAACACATAGAGAGCCTTCCTACAGGAAGTCTATGTAATGAACAGTAGTTTTTTGCCCTCTACTATGCGTTAATTTCTGAATTTTATTAACATTACTGTATAACTAAAGATATTGATTGCGATAGATGTGTATTTCATGCTTTGTGATCGATTAATTGGTGTCAGCATAGTGTTGACTGAGTCCAGGAAATAAAATGATTGCTTGCGGGCTATAGAAGATTCGTATAAAATGAACATGATCAATTATATCTCTATTAGTGCACAAATGACAAAACCAATACATAAATGTTTATTCAAGAATGCCGATTTCTTGTCAAATGCTCAATTTTATGAGGAGAAAAGAGAACAATATGGGAAAACCTTTTGGTTAAAGTTAGATTTACATAGGACTTTGAAATACAATTGACGATTTTCCTTATGCTGAAATGAATACGCGAATTGTGATAAATTTTGTTTCATAAGTCATAATAATAAAGTAACTCTTGTTCAATATAATACGCCATCGAATCTAAACAGATTGAAATCTCCGAGTATGAGCCAGAGGTGTTCACAGAGCACTTTTTCTGGCCCCGCCCTGTCCTACCTTGCCCTGCCCTGCCCTGTCCTGTCCTGTCCTGTCCTGTCCTGTCCTGTCCTGTCCTGCCCTGCCCTGCCCTGTCCTGTCCTGCCCTGTCCTGCCCTGCCCTGTCCTGCCCTGTCCTGTCCTGCCCTGTCCTGTCCTGTCCTGCCCTGTCCTGTCCTGTCCTGCCCTGCCCTGTCCTGTCCTGCCCTGCCCTGCTCTGCGGACACCTCTGACTTTCGCACACTCTTCGAGATGGTATCAGACAAATCAAGAATAAATATGTTTCTGCCATTATTCACTGCCACGAGACCTGAAAGTTAATTAAAATTCTGCAAACGTATGAACGAAATGAATTCTATTTATCAGTCAGATTTCATCATTCAAACCAGACAAGAATCAATGCACGGTTCGAGTATTTACACAAGGACATGATTCAATGATATGAATACAGCAATCCAATTACTGTATTTTCAAAGTTATAATTTCTCATATATTTACCGCAGATATTACCCGGACCATTTAGTTAACGTGCTCTTACCTTTCTTTTGTGCGCATAAAAGGAGAATATTTTATTGATGGGCAAACGAATGTTGTTTATCGATATGCACACTTCGCAAATCGACGAAATAGTGTTGAATTAGAAAAAGCAATTATCGTTGACAGGTAATCTTGAGTATCTGTCCGTTCTTTTTCTCATTAGTTATCTTCACCCAATATCATTTTATTTACCTTTTTTTCATAGGCTAAAAGAGCACTATTTGAACGGCACGGCTGTATTCAGTCGAATTGTCGAAACAAATCACTCTCCATTAAGTCATTTTTGCATATCAGAGCTTGAAAATGAACTGAAGTGAAGCGAGAAAAGGATGTCGATATTCTACCGTAAGAAATTATTGACATAGCTTACATATGACAAAGTGAAACAATGTCTATTATGTTGAATTTTTTTCATTTATTATCGACCTTTGGATTTTGTTTTGATTACATATACAAACGTTAGGGTATCCCTTTTACTGTGTTTATAAATCACGATCAAATTAACCTGGAGAGATATTTTGAGTAGTTATTAAGAATATGTAGAAGTAATAAAATCATGAAAAATAACATACAGACATATTGCTTTACAAATAAAAGGTTGTACTTTTATATAATGAAGTATTTTTTTATTTTTCAATAGATACTTATATAACATTTGGTATGAGTGTGCCTGCTGATTGTTAAAGTAATGGATTTCGAATTGATAACAGTCGAACAGTCATTAGATCATCAACATCGTTCAGGTGACTCTAATACACTATCCGAGCACTTTGAGACAATCCCTACACTTGATAATGATAAATTCATATTGGAAAAGAAACAGCAGTTTGTATTCTTTTCTTTATAATTACACATATAATGCACATGTTTTATCAATAGAAAACGTCTGTATCCATGGATCGAATCAATCACGGCACGTATGGTAGCATTCGCTATATTTGCTAATATTTCATTGATCGTCGGCGTACTAATAGTTTACTTTACGGTACCAAGACCAGGTACGTTCTTCATGCATCTGTTTGAAAGAAATGGCATCTGTATTGTAGATCACACGTGTCAATTGAAATTTCAATCAACAATTAAAAGTTCACGTATTCAGAGTTCACAACCACGTACACTTGCTGTCGGTGACTTTGATAATAATCAACAGATTGATCTGGTTGTGGCCAATTCAGGTACAAACACAATTGTTGTTTTCATTCTCGATATCAATGCAACTATCATCAGTCAACAAACATATTCCACAGGTGCACGTTCTCGACCATGTTCACTTGCTGTTGCTGATTTCAATCAAGACGGTTATATTGATATTGCTGTGGCGAATAATGGAACAAACAACATCGGATTATTCTTCAACAATCGAAACGGATCATTTCTCACTCAACAAACGCTCTCTACTGGTTCTTACCGACCGTCATTTGTCGCTGTTGCTGATTTCAATCATGACAATCGTTCGGACATGGCGGTTGTATATTATGGAACTGATAACATTGGTATTCATCTAGGAAATGGAAATGGAGCATTCCAAAGTGTGACAATCTACAGTACTGGCTACGATTCATTACCGTATTCATTAGCAGTTGGTGATCTGAATAACGATAATTATTTGGACGTTGTCGTAGCAAATTATGGTACTAACAATATTGGTATTTTCTTTGGAAATGCAAATGGATCCTTTACAAGTCAACAGATTCATTCAACGTCATCGAATTCTCATCCAACATCAGTTGTACTTGGAGATCTCAATCAAGATCAACAATTAGACATAATTATTTCTCTTTATGAGAGTAGTAGTATTGGCATATTCTGTAATCAAGGTAATGCAACGTTTAGAAAACAAACCACTTACCTAGTAGATGTTCAGTCTCGTCCACACTACGTCACTGTGGGATATGTGAATCCAGACAATTATCTCGATGTAATTGTTGTCGATTCAGAAAATGATCGGATACATATTTTGCCCGGATTTGGTAACACAAGTTTTGATGTAATAACGACTTATGATTNCGAATGCCGATACGATTCGGTGGAATTTTTCCATTTTTAAGATCATCGATTCCAGAGAGGATATTTTGAGTTTTTAAGATTGTTAAATCAGATGCCAGGTTAGCTGTATAAGACGCTAACAAGACTAAACTCAACAGATAAAGAGCAGCGGTTAATAAGCGTCCGGATGATGTACGTACATGAAAATCGACTCCATGTCCGATGCAATGGCCAAGACAATACCATAAACTCATCGCTATTTGAGAGAAAAAAGTTCGATTTGCTAAGATGTCATTTTCGTCACGTTCAAAGAAACAAAATAAGACGGAGGCAAAGACCCAGGAAAATAAAGATGTGATCCATAGGTTCAATGAAAATGGTTTTAGAAACGATAAGGGATCAGGTGCACTTGTATAAGTTTTTCTGACCATAAGTTGCAAAGCATTATCGAATATAGAATTCGAAAAATCAACAAGTTCTCGTCGTGCAGCAGTCACTGTTACATCGCCAACAACCATGTCATAAACTCCGTCGGCGACAGCTTGAATCAGTCCTGCATACGTCTGATTATCGGGTGCTAATTGAATATCCGGAATAAAGTTTAGTTGACTGCGTAAAAGCTCGATTAAATCAATCGCGTATCCAGTTAAGTTCGATGTTGATCCGCCATTGACTATCGTATATACAGGTGTTGCAATAACTCCAATTCGTACAGTAACACTGTCAAGTAGAACGCGACCGGTTGGTGGTATCAATGAATTACCTGGCCAGACAATAACATTCGATCCTGGATAAGTATTCCAATCCCCAGGATCCAAATATTCTAATACAGGAGCGAAGCCAATGCCAGTCGATGTGGACTGAATATTTTGGACATAGTAATACGAACCATCCATTCGATCGGTTGAGTTTGAAGTAAATTTAATTGGACCAGAAATGCCAAGAAACTTCATTGAGTTTATTATATTCAATAATTGATTGGAATTAACAAAATATCGATCAAAACAATATGAAGAACCGTTCGTTGTCAGACATGAGTGATTCATTTGTAAGCAAAGTTGTTCTAAGGATTGAATTAATACCCACGCAGCATCAAATGCAAACAATGCATATGGATTGACTTTTACTGAGGAAGGAAATGTTTCCGGTTCATATTCTTTCCATACGTCATAAGCAGCATTCAATAATGTTTGATTTATTGTTGCACCGACAACACTGCCTGTGACAGGTTCGACCGTGAGCATTCCAATTAAATTCGAATAGTAGGTTGAGTTAAAAGAAGTCAGGGAAATACTTGTGCTCGATATCCAGGTAAATTTAGGACCGAGAACACCGTTGTCAAGAGCGTTTTGGATAATTGTCGATGCATAACTGACACTTACCCACAATATAACAATTCGTGTCGGACTATTAACTAAAGAACTTTTGAGATCTTCTCGAAATGTCAGTGTTGCGATGTCAAAAATAATAAATTTTAGTATTGCTAGACCTTGATTGATAAATGCATTATTGATTGCATTGATTCCATTGGTTCCGAATAGATCATTTTGATAAACAACGACGCAAGATGTCCAATTGAATTTCAGAAATAATTTCACGAGTGCAACGGCAGCTTCGTTATCGGATGGGACAGTACGATAAAACGTTGGATAACTATTTCGATCGGATAGTTGTGGATCAGTAGCAGAGTACGATATAACCGGCAGGCCAATTCTTTCGCCGAAGTTTGCAATTTGCTGTGCTTCGCTTGATAGTGTTGGGCCAACGATCCCGAGGAGTATTGACGAAGATGCACATTGACATGTATCACTCAGAGCATTCATTATATTTCCACCAGTTTGTCCTGATTCCCATCCGAGATATTGACTTTGCATTGAGATATTGTATTTCTGTGAAAGTACGATAGCAGATTGGAACATTGCTCGAGTATGAATTGACAACTCAGTTGGTTCAGTAGTGTTGTCTGCGTCCAGGAAGAGTCCTAAGATTTTTATATTTGAAAGATTCGCTATCGGCCACTCGGATTTGATATATTTGAAATTAATTTGTGAGAATATAAAGTATGAAATGAATGGTAAAAGCATCGTGTGGGAGAATTCAAGTGAAATCAAAGTGACTGCAAAGTAAATATGTGCGTTCACAAGAAGCAACTTTCTCTTATTTGGTTTCAATTAGAAAATTTATAAGATGTCTGTTTATCACAACCGGAAACAAGAAAAACGGAAATGTACTTCTCTTTTCTCCTTCTATAAGAATATTGATTTACTATCAACATGAATCACATCAAATAACAGTGGTAGTAGAAAGAAAAAAGCAATTTAAACAAATGCTGGCTCAAGTAAAAGAATAGAGTATCCACATGTTCCAAACTTGTTACTTGTCATATCCGACATATGAATTTTGAAATGTACTTTTATTTGTAAAAGTCTTGTAGTCGTCGATACTATCTAATCTCAAGTGAGACTTTCTTAATTATCATACCGATCCTACTCTTCATCGTACGGTGCATAATGTTTGCAGTTCGGATGATGTCTGTGATTACCATCTTTTCGTATCCGTTCATAATCAGCCAAACAAGACCAACAAAACTCATACGAACATTTCATACATTTCATACGGTCACAACCATCGTTCTTTTCGATTCGATATGGACAGTTGGGACATTTTTTCGAGTTCTGGATCATCCACAGCTGACTGGCTTCATCATCAGCATCTTTCGTCTCGTCATACTCTGCACATGTTAGTCCTTCATGCCATGGAACTTTGTGGATAAAACATGTTCTGTGATGGCAGTTAAAACAAGTGATAATATTATTTTCGGATCCACCATCGTTGAGTTGTCCCATCCCACAATCAGGATTTGAGCACCAAATGAACTCATCCATCTGCTCTAATTGTCGATGAAGAATAAATCGATCGTACCGATCAAAAACTTTCTTATCATCACCACAGCTGAGAATATATTTCACTACATTATAGTCGAGTTGACTGCCACAGTCGGGTTCAGGACAACGAATATCATCTCGACATGTGTCTTCAAACGCTTTTTCAACGTACTGTACGACACATTTATTGCATGTAGTCTGATATATATGTCCGCAAGTAGCAGTTAATGGGAGACCATAATCACACGCAAGTTTGTCCTCACAACATATTTGACATTCTTGGTGGCTTCCTTGTATACCCATAGTGTTGCTTATGCAGAGATTGTCTTATACACAGACGAAAATATTACTCATATGAATAGTATTGGCGTCAATAGCTCACAAGTCTACTAAACCACACTATTTCCCACTCGTTGTATTGATATTTCCCACCAAAATCACAAGTATGACTAAGACGTATCGATGGGAAAGAAAGCAAAAGCATCTGTCATGTCGTATATAACAGAACGAAAGAAAACGCGAAGGAACACGTGTACAATTGTTTTTTTTTGCGATCAGACACGAATGCATTTCGTATCAAAATTTTCTCTTCTTTTGAAAAAGTAAGAGTTCAGTAAGATTTCACTGATATGCGTTATTTCTAAGCATAGCCTCGTATCATTGAAATTGGAATAGTAGGAATTTTGTAGTCGTGTTAAATATTCAAATTGGGTGGAAGATGATTTATGATAAAATGATACTCAAGTCGACATGTTTTACAAAGAAATGCACATTAACTCTGATGATTTGACGTCATTTACAAAGGTTTTTTTCGTCGCTAGATGAGTCATTTCTGGTTGAATCATGTTAGTTTCGGATAAGTTTTCGATTTCTTTTCAGGATATACAATGTTGTGCGATTATCTAACATAAGATGTTCATAATAGAAATCATTTTCATAAATTCTTTTGATAAATGGATAACTATTCATCAATTGTGAGCATTTTACCGCTTTTCGTTGGTATTTCTGCGTTTCGTATTTGTGTGAATAACTTTGTGAAAAACACATTTCGTTGATTGAATAATTTGAATAATAGACTTTCGATACGGATTTGAAAAACATTTCAATATTATTCGGCCCGGGCAACCAAAGGGTACTGATCGGATGCAATAGTAATGGGAATACGAAGTGTTTTTCAATGTACACATACGATTTAATGTGTGTAGAGTTTTCCGAATAAAAATCAATTCCAAGAAATGGCCATTTCCAGGGATATTTACCAGCTGGTTGAGATGATTTGAAATAAAATTTCATATTTGTTGGTGTGTTGATATAAAATTGCCAATTGCTGTCGTTGTTTAGTTGGTTTATCTTCGATATGTGAGAATAATATTTGATATTGATTGAAATATCAACATCGTCGTCATATGGTAAAATATCTATGAAGAAAAAATCATCAAAATATGTCGTAATCGACCTATACTTTAAAGGCACCGTTCTCCTTGAGAATGACAAATACGAACGATACGTTTTAATAGATCTTACCGTGATTTCTATACGAGCCTATCAAAGTTCCAAACGTAATAAAGTATTCAAATGAATATTTCTTTGAAACCCAGATCAAAAATGTTCAGTAACTGAATGTATAAATAATGTTCGTCTGGCGTTATCAAACGTGGAAGCATTGGTGAGGTTTTCCATAAGGAATAAAAGTAAGGTAGTTTGGGATAAGATGTTTCATTGATGGATGGTTCTTCGTAAATTTGTTCTAAGGAATATTTTTGAAGTTGTTCATATTCATACCGATACTGTTGTTTAAAGATTAATTTTGAAGAATCCATTGATAAATGTTGACTCATTTCTTCAAATGTAATCCTCAATGGTGTCAGATCAGATGTCGATGATCGAAATAAATAATTAACAAGAAATAGAAATATTAATAGTTGACCACAAATGAAAAGAAGCTTATTGTTACATGCACGTTTACGCATGATTTTCGTATTCCAACAGTTCCAATTGAAATAAAAAAGACGCCGACCGTTGTCTTCTCTAGAAACAGATACTTTTCAACACATTAATGCGTAGCAGTACACGAAAAAAGATATAACTGATGATAACCTGACGCTTATCATTTGAAGTTGTAATAGACCAACGAATTCATATTGTGATAGAAAAAAAGAAGTTTGATGTACGATTGACAAGGAGAGAGTCTTGGATTGTGGACAACTTCACATGGTGTCACTTTCGTACATGGACTCCATGTGTGAAATTTGAACAAAGGGGAGAGAAAAGTGATAGTTCGAGTGTAAATGAGTTTTCTTTTACAATTCCTCGGATTGTCAGATGAGTGGTAAGAAGTGTGTACTGATCATATAGCAAGGCATAAGATATTATCCTTCGTTTCTTTTCACACCCTCGCAATCATTAATGACCAAAGACTTCATAATATCCCCCGAATTATCAATATCAATGTGCCTCTTGTTGGTTGATTGTTCATCAAACATTATCGTATCGCGACAGCGATACGTATATTAGAGAATATCATTTAAAAAGTATTCTTGCTGTTGTGATTCATTATTTCAGAATGAAAAAAGTCATTCTTCATGCAAAAATGTTCATTTAACCGAAAACAACATTTTGTTATTATATTATATTCAATTCAAGATCTTCGTATTTTCGACAGTCTATAATTGATAATAGATGTGCAAAATAGGTACTACGTTTCATCGTATGGTGCATAATGTTTGCAGTTCGGATGATGTCTGTGATTGCCATCTTTTCGTATCCGTTCATAATCAGCTAGACAGGACCAACAAAACTCATACGAACATTTCACACATTTCATATGGTCACAACCATCATTCTTTTCGATTCGATATGGACAGTTGGGACATTTTTTCGAGTTCTGGATTATCCACAGTTGGCTGGCTTCATCATCAGCATTCCTCGTCTGATCGTATTCTGCACATGTTAGTCCTTCATGCCATGGAACTCTGTGGATAAAACATGTTCTGTGATGACAGTTAAAGCAGGTAACAATATTGTTCGCTTGTCCACCATCGTTGAGTTGTCCCATCCCACAATCAGGATTTGAACACCAGACGAACTCATCCATTTGTTCTATGCGTCGATAAGTAATGAATCGATCATATCGATCAAAAAGTCTCTTATTAACACTGCGATTGAGAATATTTTGCACTGCATCGTAGTCAAATAAAGCGCCACAGTCAAGTTCAGGGCAACGAACATCATCTCGACATGTCTCTTCAAGCGCTTTTTCAACATGATTGACAACGCATGTGTTACAAATTGTTTGATGAATATGTCGACAAGCAGCAGTTAATGGAGGACTAAATGCATGTGAGAACTTTTCATCAAAGCACACTTGACATGTCCGACGTACAAGATCATACACCGGTCTTCTAGACGAAAAATACGCAAATAATTTCTATGGCAATAGAAATCAGCCAACACAAAAATTGTGGGCTCATACTGCTTGATGAGCTTTCCCTACTCGGGTATGTATCTTGGAGATGTTGGTGGCAACAAACCAGTCGTTTCAGGATCTTCTCTACGTTTTGATATACAACATATGAATGCTACAGAGATGATTGCAAGTGTAAGTAAACAAACAATTGCTAATCCAGCTATATAGTCCGGTGCTATAGGAAAAATAATCGATTAATAGTATTCGAATACCATTAAGATACTTTACAAAGTGCTGGCAGAGGGGCCATTGACGATATTAGTCGGATAACTATTGTCGTGCTTTTATAGACTCAAGTTTTAATTTTTTCACTTTATTTCATTCTTCGCACGTCTCTTTTTATTTATTTAGAAGATAACAAAAAAAAAATACCCAATTAGGAAAGCAGAGTTGTCTTGTTTCAAGTACTAACAGAGCAAAAGTCATGCATTTAAAGGTATGAAGATAAGTTAGTCACACGTGAGTATCGTTACTGGACCTTATTATGCGCAGTATAAGCTGAGAAAAAAGGGCTGGTAGTAACTTACTAGGGTTAAACAAGATGATGATCAATTGGTCTTCCGGTGTCACATGTAAATAACACTGCTCCATAAGACAACACATGCTGTTTGTGGCGATGAAGTTAATTCAGTGAACATGGAATTTTGTGAGGAAAATAAAGTAATTATGTTTTACGAAAACGATAAAGCAGTCGATTGACAAAATATACCTCATCCCGATCTGTCATAGATCGAATATTCTCAGGGTGAAGAAAAAAAATTTATACCCACTTCTATTTTATGAGAAAGCACTTGCAGATTTCGAAACAGACATACCCTCGAACAATTCGAGTTTAACAACTTTAAAGTACTCCTGCCCATTGCTTTGGTTTCGAAGAAAAATGCTGAAAATCCGCCAGAGATTTCTACCTCCAGATCATGCAGATATAGCTCGCTCGTTTCATGAAAAACTGATCGACATTTTCGAAAAATATCTTCTTCTGAATCGTCCAACTTTAGCGTGTTGTCAAAATAATCTTGGTATGCCGTATGAAGCCGCAGGCGAATGTACCAAAGCGCACTCAAGCTTGTAAAAAGACCACTGGAAATTTCTGAAAAGAGTCTTTCCCCAACGCAGTTAATTATTACAGAAAAGAACTTGTAGTTTTCAAACAAATCCATGGCATGAGTGGCGAGTATTACAGTTCTCGTTACGAAGGACTTGGAAGTTTGTATACAGCGATGAAACAATATTCCGAAGAATTTCTATTTTACGAAAAAGCAACTGTTATTTTACAATCGCTGTACCTGTCTAATAACTCCATATTAGTTGACGGCTACAGTGTTATCAGTTCAATGTACGACAAGCTCGAATCAGATGGGAAGACAATTGAGTTTTATAAGAAAACTTTGGATATTCTAGAAAATCACCCTTCCCGCATTGCGGCAAATTCGTAAGTTGCTATGGTGTGATTCGACGCTTGTTTAAGAATTCTACACATATTCGATTAAATTCGATGCTCCTCGATTGTGAAAAATGACTCCGACTCAAAAGCTATTCAAGATACTGTGTGCCATTCCAGAATCAATGAGTGTGAATGTGAAAAGTAGCTGTGGCATAGGATCATTGCAATGAGGCTCGCTTTTCTATTACGCTTTTGTTTTTGATGAAACAAAAAAACATGGTCAGTTTACGTTTCGTTGCAATTTGTGTTCAAAGGATTAATCCATGTGACTAGGCATTTACTTATGCTTGATTCGAAGAGTACTGTAAGAAGTAGTTGTGCGTTATGCCTTATATGAAGTGTGTAGATAGATTATCATAATTGGTGAACCGATTTACTGATGATAGCGGAACAATAGAAAATACTTTTCTCGCCCTTATTTACATGCTTGCTCCCAACACACAGATACTCTACATTCGAAGATTATGTATATCCAGATTTGATGTGTTTATTAATGAACAAAACGAGTTAGGACTAATTTCTGTGTTCCTAAATGCTCCATAATTAGCTTTTTAATGTGTTATTTTGATAACATGCACCGGATGTGCTGAGTATTGATGGAAGTTCAGATCAATTTCTGCAATGAGTCGATCAGCACGGTCGAAAACAGGCTGCCAATAACGCGCCATATTTTGTTGCATATATTGTTGAAAATGATGCTGCACTTGTCGCACATCTTGACCTTGACAAATAGCTGACCAAAGGTTATCGACATGTTCTCGATAGCGTGTTAGAATGTCGTTAAATGAATCTTGCATGTTTTTCATAATTTGATTCGCAATCTGTAAAAATTCTTGATATTTCTCAAGGTGAATTCGATAACCTTCAGGATCGTCTCTTTGTTTGGCAGGATTTGGTTTTGCCGAAAGCAGCGTTTTATGAAAACTGTCAATATTATTCATCAAGTCGCGTTTGAACTCGTGAAGATTATATGCAAGATATTCGTCGAGTTCACGATCTGAAAGATCAGCCAACTTTGGATGTTTATGGTAGCTTTGCATTTTCCCACTATTTCGATTATGAGCGGCTCGCTGTTCTAATTTAAGAACCAACGTCGGTAATCTGTTACGTATTTGCTCGTCGATGATAGTTGTTGTGCGCTGTAGAACAAAATAGAAGACTCTTTTAGAATTTCAGTACATTTAAAACTATTCGATATTATATTATGCATACAGATGTAACCCAGAACGCTCGTCCGAAAAGTCGTTTAGTCAAGTGTTATGCGAACAACCCCCTTTATTTTTTGTCTAGCTGGCGAAAAGATATATTACTTATACAAAGTACAATAACTGATTGTGATTAAAATTTTACAAATGCTTCTTCGAGACATGCTGTGTTTTGTTCATAGTACTTACACTTGCATAGTTTGAACCATTTGTAGCATGTTGCACATGTGCTGCCTGAGCTGAACCTGGACGTGAAGGATGCGGTTCATTCTATATTTCGAAAAAATATTAATATTAAAAAGAAAAGTCAATGTTCATACTTGATAATACTGGTATGGCATTCTTTGGGACATTCGTGTGGTTTAGAATTGATCTGAAATATCAAGAAATAGATTACATGTGTTTTTCTATAATGTTCGATGAATGAGCTCGAATTGAAAAGTGTGACCGAATTCCACTTTTTTATGTATTATAAAAGCGTCTGGAAGTTCAAAAGAATATTTGTAACAGACTTTGGAAAGCGTCTTTTATTCGGCGAGCAAGACCAATAATTTTATTTGCAATCCACCCGATAATTGACATGACGATTTGTTTCAATTGATTGAAAATGTTCTGTAGCCAGGCTTTGAGGAGATCCATACCGTTCACAGATTGACTTAGCAGCTCGACGTATTGTGCCCGCTTTCTTGCATAATCAGGATCTGATGGATGTGGTCGTCGATTGGTGATTGTATTTTGAACTTCATCGATCCGATCGCTCAAATCCTGTTTTGTATTCTCCACTTTCTGCTTCAGAGCTCTTTCTAAAGCGTCGATGTCGGAGTCCCGTACAGTTGAACTGGTAAATTCACTTTCTAGGCTGTTTAACTTTTGCTCAGCATATGCTTTGAAATTGTTCGACAGGTAATCAAAGTCTGCCATTTTCTAGACACAATGTCGTTAGTAGATTGTCGGGTTTTTATATAGCACAAGCAGTATCAGAGGTCGAGATAACTTGATATGTGAGTTGATCTAGAAAAGAATCGAAAATCAAATAAATGACTATAAAAAAGTAAATATGAGTATTGATTTCATTTGATCGGCGTATACGTATGTGAGATAAATTTTATGAAAACCAACCACGAATACGATTCACAGCTCCTCGAAAAAAGCCTTTTACCGCAGTGTACACCTGTGTTACTTTGTTTCGGATCCACGTGCTTAACCGCTGAAACAAGTTTTTCAGGCGAGAAAAGGTCCCATCGAATTGATCATCCATATGATCGATATGAGCACAGGCATACTCAGCTAGCTGTTCGTAATATTGTCTTTTTTCCCAATAATTTGGGTCCCAGCTGTTGGGATAATACGGAATAACAGCATTAACAATTTGATTGGCCTTTTCTTGGATCATGACTTTTGTTTGTGCACATTGTGACGTAAACTTTGACTCCAATTCATCCATGTTGTCTGAGTTGCGCATGTTTTCAGCGATATGCGTCTCGTATGCGCGCAAATTTTGAGCGCCTTGCGCTGCCACTTGATTGATAAATCTCACAGGATCCATGCTACTTAGCTAAAAAGGGATATTTGATGAATCTAGAATAAGTTTACGAGAATGCGTTATAGTGTCATCAACAGAAGCTGTGTAGTAAGTTTTCGAAAAAAAAAGTTATCAAATGAAATACATTTAACGCGAAAAGACTATATATTATTTATTAGGTTGAGAATTTCTCGAATTCTCAATTTCTTGCATCATTTTATCTGCTTGAGCAAATACAGGATCCCATGCCTTTTTTATGTAAGCGTCTGTCTGCTGTTGGAATCGAGTGGCAATTGGGTTTGGATCTTTACCAGAACAAATCGCTTCCCATAAATCATCAATGAATAAACGATATTGCGTCAACACCGTATTGAGCGTTTCTTGCATATTCGACATCAATCCTGTGGCAGCTTTCAATAATTCACAATAAATTTGCTTCTGTTCTTCATAGTTTGGATCGTTAACAGCACTTGCTGGGGGGCGAGCGCTCAATACCAGCGATTGAAATTCGTCAATGTTGCGAAAAATCATAGTTCGAAAAGCATCAATATGCTGCTTCAAAAATTCTTCTTGTACTTGCTCAGATTTTCCTTTGAGTTCCTCTTCATATTTTGCCTTTAACTTCAAGATCAAAGTAGGCATGCGTTGTTGAACTTGCTCAGTCAATGTAAGCGTTTGCTAAATTAAATATTTTTCTCAGAATAGAAATTAAATGATACGAAAAATTGGTAGTTTATGAACGCAGATTGTGATGGATCACACTATTATTGTTCTTTCCCGTCCTTTTCTCATTTTTTATTCGCGCTCCATGTTAGTTTTGATTAGTTCTGGTAGCTCTCGTACGAGAACGTCTGTTCATTTTCTGATCTCGCTACTTGTCTCATTGTCAAAGATCGAATAAATCATCGTTTTTCTTGGAAGTGGCTCTTGGTCCACTCTTTAGTTGCTTCACAGATTTGTCTCGTCACCCCTATTACAACATGAAAAACCGTTAAACTGATAGTTCCGTAAAATTTGCCATCATTATATTATAGTCCAAGAGAGGAAAAAGCGGTGTGTGTTGTGGTACTTGGTATTAAACGAATGCGGAAAATTCGGATTTTATCCGAAAGTTGGACGCTTTGCAAAAAGTGTAATAGATGCAAGGCGTAAGAACTCGCAGAGAAATACGAATAGTCTTTCGATAGCTCAGAAATAAGTCGTTCCATCGGTCTCATCTTCGATCTCCAGCAAGACTGATGTAATGATACACCGTTCAATATTGCCTCACAATCTAATTAGCCTTACGTAGGGTACCTTTGGGGAGGATTCGACCTTTCCTTGAGCTAATTCATTTCAGTGTAGATTCCAAGCACACCAAAATTGGCTCCATGAGGATGTGGGTAGAAAATTTCATTGTTCGTACCAATAGAGCTCCTCGAACTTGACCTGGAACCACTTTTAGAATCGAGGAGGTCGGATGTAAGACGAATCGGTCCGGGTTTCTGGATGTTTTTAAAGATTGTTTAGTTTCGGGGAGTAATTAGAGAACTTTTTGCGAAGTTTTATCTTTGGGACCGATAGAGCTCATCAAGTTGTACTTGGAGCGGTAATGTGTAAAATCATCGAAAAAAGAGATCTCGACATAACGAATCTCGAAAAAAAATCTCGAAAAACAAAATCTCGAAAGATTAAAACCTCGAAAAAATGAAATTTCGAAATATTTATATGGCGAAATTGAGGGTGAGAGTGAGCGTAAGAGTGTGGGTGAGGGGTGGGGGGTGAGCATAAGAGTGTGGGTGAGGGGTATGAGTAGAGGCGAGTGTGTGAGGGTGATGATGACGGTACCAAAACATTCAATATTCTACTTTTTTAGTTTCGAGATTTTCTTTTCGGAATCATGCTTTTTCGAGATTTTGCGTTTCGAGATTTTTTTTTTCGAGTTTTTTTATTTCGACTTTTCTTTTTTCGGGGTTTTTACACCAATTCCTTGGAGCTAGTGTTGATGTGCTTGAAACCTACACTGAAATTAATCGACTCAAGAAAAAGTCGAATCCTGTCCAAAGGTATCCTACGTCAATTGGACTAGTCCTTCGGGCGTTATCGCATTCAGGATCGGACATACTGACTGATTCTATAATAGTACTCCCTTTTTGAGTACACAAGCGCAGTACACAGACTATTGCTGTCTCTGTTGATTGTTCGTTATGGCTTATTTAGTTTTGCACATCAACAAATCTGTATGGTAACTTACGGTTTGAGTGCCATGAGCACCGGCACCTCCGGTATTTTCGACATGTGCAGGTATAGATCGTTGTTCAGATCTTTGCGTTGTATTTGGCTCAGAATGATTTGACTCCGCTACCCCAAAAAAGTTTCGGATGCGACTTTTGACTGAGTGTTTCTCGTTCGATTTGGATGACTAAAAGATACACTCAGAGAGGTTTATTCAAAACGTGTTCACTCACACTATTGTCAGCCATGGGTATGTTGACGAAAGCTTTTATCTAAAATACAAAAGCCAAAAGGATATTTGTTGATGGATATTGAAAATTGACGATCGTTTGGAAATGATGCGAAGTAATTACAAGACACCTAATAAAGGCAAAATAACTGTTGAAAAAAGCTTTGCTATCGCACAAACAATCTGCGGCAAATGTTCACAAATCCATTTAACAATCTTTTTCACAACTTCAAATAACTTTGAAAATAACTGAGAGAATATGTTTTTGAGTGACCCTACTCCACTGTTAGCATGAACAAGTAACTGATGATACTGTTCACGTTTTTGTTCATAACTAATGTCACTGGACGATGGTCGTCTACTAAAAATGCTTTCTTGAAGATTGTCTAGTTGACCATTGACATTACTCTTTAGATGTGATGTGCGATTCATAAGCGCTCTTTCATATGCATCAACTGCTTCGGTTGTAGCGCGACTTGTTGCGTAATTTTGAATCCCATTAACTTCCTGAGCTGTATCAGCATGAATTCTATGTAATCGATTATCCACATCACGCAACTGGTATGCCATTTTGATAATATGCAAGGACTCAAGTGATAGTTTTTGGTCTTATGATCTGTAAAAGCTTCCTAAACGCACTGTTGCTGTATGTGAGCTGCACTGATTTCCTGTGGACTGTAAATCTCATGTTCTTTTATACAAACGAATCACTTCCTAGTGACGCACAAAATAATGGATGTTGACGTAAGCATATGTTGGAAGAAACATGTAATTGCTGCAAGATTTGATTGTCAATAGAGACAAATGCGCCCTGAAATATTTTTATTTCGAATGTTTGCCCGTTCTTTGTGAAAGTTTTTCTAGAACATTTAAGTAGGAAATAACCAACTTCGCCTTATATGGTATCAAAATACAAAATGGTTCAGTGAAAATAACTTTTCAACACTAATTTTATATGACAATTATTACATAGACTTTGCAGCTTATTTTTGCTCCTAATCACACAACCGAAATCATCTGTAAAGTGCATTTTTGCTAGTAGATGCGAATCATGCCTGTTGACACAATTGGTGGGGTAATATAAATCACGTTAAAATTCGCTCTGCATTTGAGGACAATCTATGTTTGTTCTATTCTATTTATTTTTCATTTTATTGGAAAAAACCAACTCTTTCTTTTATCGCCACTGTAAATTTATTTAACGTCGGTCATAAATATAGCATATACTTTTCATTCAAAAACCAGTCACCATCAGTGAATCTCCTCATTCGCGTTATTTATGAGCCAAAAGATGGATCAAATCGCATCGCTAATATAGCATTTGGGAATGCAAGGTAGTGTTATGCGAAACGACTTTTCCCAATCCTGTAGGAAAGTCGTTCTATGGTGGACAGTAATATACAGTCATACATCATCGTGTTATTGGTTGATCATTATCTTTTGTTTTGAAAGTCAAATAAAGATTGTAGCGCACGTGTGTAAATGAAACTTATAATTTCGGCATGATGTGCTAAATAAAAAGAAAAGAAGAAGAAAAAAACGAATGTATTTGATCGCAATTGAAATACAGAAGAAAAAGCGACAGGAAAAGATCAAATAGAGATGAAGCATTAAGTATGTGTGAACATAAAGTTGTCGACACGCGCAAATAAATTCATACAGGTTAACAATGACTAAATAGGAACAATTCGCCATCTTTGAGCTGGTGTATGATTGCGTGTCCAAATTTGCACATTTGTTCCGTCAGCCGATTGGTTTCCACTAACATCGAGTGCTTTACCAGATTCGACATTGATCAATTCATATAAACCATTTCCAACCGATTTCAGAAACCATCGCTGTGCCACGGAGCGATTGTTTGTATAGATTTGCACGTTAGTACCATCTGAATGGCCATTTCCACTCACATCTAATGCCTTATCACTATGCGCATTAAATAGCTGAATTGAATCATCATCGTATCCATAGATAATCCAAATTTGATTGGCACCTTGGTGATTTTTAAAAATTTCAACATTGGCCCCGTCGTGTGTACCACTGCTGTGGATCTCAAGAGCCTTGTTCGATGCCGCATGAATGAATTGATAGGTATTGCCAAAAATAATATCAGCATTATCTGCACGAAACAAATCCATTTAGAGACTGAAATTTATCCTCAACATGTCAAGCTGTTGACTTAGGCATCTGCGAACTATGTAGAAAAGTATTTCTACTGATATAACTGTTTTTTATTATACTAGTAAGCCTTTAAACGCTCTCAATAAACGGTGTCTCGGAGTGTTCATGACGACAGTGAGGGACCTTTCCTGTTACTGAAAGGAATTTTATCGCATAGCTTAGAGAAAACAAAATCGTCAATCAAATATGATATTTGTACTCACTTTCCACTGTTTCACCAGGAGCCGGGAATGTATCTAGATGTTCACCAAACCAAACATTTGCAATTCCTTTATAAACACCAACTCCCATGGCTTTCATTGGCGACCAACCACCTCTTTGTATCATCACATTATTATGCCCAGGACTATTTTTCCAACCTTCAACAG